GACTTTGCCTGATATGCTTATTTTTTATATGAGGGATGTCAATATACATTCCCAAATAAACTATTAAATAATAATAATTCATTAATTATAATAAAAATTCATTATAATAATAAAATAATAATAATAAAAAATTATGACCCACTGGATGGGTAAACTTCTGCACGGGCGACATCCCAATGAGGTCAGTCAAGACCATGTCGACAATATAGCGTCGAACTATTGGCTGACTTCAGGAAAGATGTTCCCTGAAACAGAAGGTTCACTACTGGCCATTCAGGATCAAGTTATACCAACCAAAAATTACCTGAAATATATCGTCAAAGACCCTCAGGTCCAAAATGACAAATGCCGATATGGATGCCAAGCTCAGGAAACCATCCAACATCTTATCGGGGGCTGCCAGGCATTTGCTACAATCGAATATAAGGAAAGGCACGACTCAGTGGGTAAGATCCTTCATCAAGAGATATCTATCAAACTAGGACTTCTTCAAACAAACCATCTTCCATATTATCAATATGTTCCTGAGAGTATACTTGAGAATGACAACTACAAGCTATACTGGGACCGCACGGTGCTCACAGACCAAACAGTGGCACATAATAGACCAGATCTCATACTTGAAAGAGACAAACAACATTAATTGATGTGGCAATACCCAACAACAATAATCTTCGTGTTAAACACAACGAAAAAATCGCCAAGTACAGAGATCTGGAAATTCAAATACGGAGACAGTGGAGAATGGAAAGTACCCAGACAATACCTAATATTCTCTCTACTACTGAAATCATTCCAAAGAACCTCCTAGAAAACATAAATAAGGTAGATCTGAAGAACATCTCTACAATGCAGAAAGCTGTACTACTCTCAACATTCAGATGTGTACTAAAATTTTTGGGAGATACTCCAGCATATCAAGTCACCTAGGACTCGATAACACGAAAAGAGTCCCACCAGAGCTCAATCCTTTTGATACCGTAGGTATCTGGGATGAGTGAATTTTCCCCTTAGAGGGAGTGTGAGCCGGATGGCTAAATCTGGGATAAAAAATTAATAACATGTATAGTTTGTCCCTTTCTTTGTAATTGAACTAAAATATACGAGCTTTAGAAGCCACAGATTAGACTCGTTGGAGGAGCTAAACAGCTTCCACAGAAACAGTTTTTATAATCCCAAGATGTGCATACGTTGTCAAGAGGAGTACTTCAAATGAGATAATATCGAATGATTTATAATACGTTTAAATTAATTAAGTTTTTAACCATTAGTCCTGAAAATTTTTAATCACCTCTCTCATATATAAACATAATTTTAATTCTAATTGTATTTATTTCATTAAAATTTTAGGAGTTGAGGCTGTCATTCCCCAAATTGCCATAGAAGTTCCTGTTACTATAGAAAAATTGAACGATATTATATCAGAACATCAACCTAGCCCGGTGGTGCTAGAACCTGTGACAGGTAATAGCCATTCAATAATTATATAAAGACACTTTGACAGAATAATTAAAATTTTTGATTTTTATGATTTTTCTTAATACATAAAATTTTACTAATATAAATTTTTTGGTATTTTTTAGTTATTTGTAAAATCATTAATAACTTTTAAGATGCAGAAAAAAATATTCCAATATGAAATTGAATTTTCCCAAAAAAAAACAATTATTTCAACCTTAAAGTCACATAATTTGGTTCCACATTTTCTTTGTAAATTATGATTATACAAGTCCTTGTAACTGGTAGGTATACTATAAAAAACGACAAAGCTTGATGAATCTTTAATTTAGCTCTGGTATATCCAGCACTCTTATATCAAGGACATTGATTAGGGTCATTGAGCAAACACTTATCCTCTTAAACTATGTATCTCCTGGACAGATGGTGTTACATCTCAGAAATCAGTTGTGGTAAGGTTGCCTAATTATTTTCCGATTGATCACGGTGTAGGTATGCATAGAACGTTTTATATTAGTCATTACTAGCTAAAAGCTCAAACTCAACATCTCAGACTGGAACAGAAAAAGTATCCTTAATAAGTATACTGTTTGCTTTCTTAATTTGTCTTGGACAATTAAACAAACATAGAACTCTACATTAGTGAGACGCAGTTCAGGTTCCGTAATGAAATGAGTATTTGTGAAGGACTATTTGCCATCAACAAAAAGATTTCGAGAGAGTAAAACATGAAAAACGAATATCAATGCTTATAAAAATGCACATTGACAGTAAAATCAGAAAGATATTCTAAACATTATATTCGAACCAAAGTTTCATAGTTTAAATTGATGGACAACAGTCCAAAAAAATAGAAAATGTGTACAGGTGTTAGACAAGGATGCGTTTTATCGCCACTTTTGTTTACTTTTATTCGGAAGATGGACACTGGACTATCTGAAACTCATTGGTTAGGAGATGGCCATTTTAGAACAGACAATGGCAATTATATATACTTTTCTGGCGGTGAGACCCAGAACTATACAGGTGTTGCCATTCTGGTCTCACCAAGATTACAAAAGTTAGTTGTCGAATTTAAAGCTGTAAACGATAGGATAGTTCTCATTAAATCAATGCCATCAACTGGATGGCAAACCACATAAACTTAATATCATACAAGTTTACGCACCAACCAGCACATCAGATGACATAAAGATCGAGGAGTTCTACGAAAAACTGGAGACCACAATCGCTAACATACCAAATAAAGAACTTACTATAATATGTGGCAACTTTAATGCAAAAGTTGGCAACACTACACAAAATGACGACTTAAAGAATGTACTGGGAAAGTTTGGCATAGGGCAGAGAAACGAAAGAGGAGACCGTTTAATCGAATTTGCTATCACAAACAACTACTCTATCATAAATACTCGATTTAAACACCATGTACGTCGACTTTATACTTGGAAAAGTCCTGAAGATAGATCTAGAAGTCAAATAGATTACGTCCTCACCAATATTCGCTGAAAATCGTCCATTCACACAATCAGATCATATCCAGAGGCGACATGCGGATCCGATCATACTCTCCTCGTAGCTAAAGTAATGCTTAAACTTAAAACACCTAACAAAACAAAGAGAGATAAAGAGGATATAACTAAAAAAGAAACACGACCTTCTACAGGAAGTACAGAAAAGTATGCCCTCTATTCGTAACGGAACATCACAAGAAATATGGGAGACTGTTAAACATTGCGTAACAACACCAGTGAATCGCTCAAAGAAAAATAATCCGGTGAAACGGAAACACTGGATAACAGATGAAACTCTTAAAATAATTGAGAATAGAAGAAATCTTTGTAAAAGTGGTGTTCATAGTGAAAGGGAAAAAGCTAGTTTAAGAAACCTCAATAAAGAAATAAAACGAAGATGTATATGCGACAAAAAATAGACGACAAAGATATGCGATAGAGAATTAAAATCAGCCGAGAGATCTATTTAGAAAAATACGCTACCTGACAAGAGACTTCAGAGCCAGAACTTGGGCCATTGAAGATAACACTGGAACCCTGAGAACAAACAGAGAAGACATAGCAGAGACATGGAGATCGTATTGCAGGGACCTATATAAAGATGATCAACGCCAAGAGCTTGTTAGCCAAATCTCTGACGAGGTGGAAGAAGAACCTGATATACTCGAAAATGAAGTAAGACAGGCTATCAACAAGCTCAAATATAACAAAGCACCAGGTCCAGATATGATAACAGCAGAAATGCTTAAAGCCACAGAAGAAACCGGCGTAAAGTTACTTCATCTACTCTGTAACCAAATATGGCATTCCATACAATGGCCTGAAGACTGGACAAAATCTACAATAACGACCATACATAAAAAAGGCAGCTTCCATAAATGCGACAATTATAGAACTATCTCTCTTATATCCCATTCCAGCAAGATAATGCTACATATAATCAATGAGAGACTGAAAACATTCCTTCAAAGAGAAATTCCACAAGAGCAAACTGGATTTACCAAAGGTAGAGGCACTCGAGAAACACCTGCTGAATATAAGACAGATAATCGAGAAATCTAGGGAATTCAACATCCCACTATACATCTGTTTTATAGATTACCGTAAAGCGTTCGACAGGGTCAAGTGGAGACACTTATGGCGAATACTAAAAGAAGTAGGCGTACCACAACATCTAATTACGCTTATAACTGAACTATATGAACACACTACTGGATCAGTTAAAGTACTTGACACACTTTCGAACGAGTTTCATCCAGAACGGGTGTCAGACAAGGATGTATACTATCTCCACAATTATTCAACATATATGGGGAGTATATTATGCGAAGAGCACTTGAAGGATGGGAAAAGGGCATCTCAATAAATGGTCATAAACTAAACAACCTACGTTTCGCAGATGACACAGCCCTTCTTGCAAATAGTCAAGCAGAGCTGATGGAACTTATACGACTGATCGAAAACGAAAGTCAAATATTTGGTCTGCAATTAAACATATCAAAGACAAAGATCATGATAGTGGATAGACTACACAACAATCATCCACACATAACCACAATTGACCGGTTCGAGGTTGTGAGCTCATACTTATATCTGGGATCATTAATCACAAACACATGGTCATTACAAGAAGAGATTAAACGTAGATGTGATCTAGCAAAAGTTGCCACAGCAAAAATGACCAAAATATGGAAGGACTGTCAAATTTCAAGAGCGATAAAGATGAGGTTGATCAACTGCTTAATATTCCCAATACTGACCTACGGATGTGAATCTTGGACTCTGAGACAATCGGAGAGAAGAAAGATAGACGCCACTGAAATGTTCTGTTGGAGACGAATGTTACGAATTCCTTGGACCGACCGTAGAACAAATAATTCAATTTTAAGAGAGCTAAAAGTTAGCCAACGACTCTCTAGTAAAGTCCATCTCCAACAATTAAAATATTTTGGGCATGTTATGAGAGCAAACACAGAAAACATGGAAAGACTCATAATACAAGGAAAGGTAGAAGGCCGAAGATCACGAGGAAGATCCCCAACAAGATGGATAGATCAAATTACAGGAATATGCCAAAGACCTCTGCATGAATTAAAAGAAATGACCAGAGACAGAGATCTCTGGAGACGGACAATACACGACATCACGTCGACCACTACACTCCCCCTGGGGGGTCAGATTGAAGAGAAAGAGAAGAGAGATTCGGAAGAAATTTTCAAAAACACAGTCAATAATATCAAACCGGGAGTTATCATTAACGGGAAATTAATTAATACTTACTTTTGTAAGTTTTTGTGTTTTCCTAGAGCTTTTGTTGCTGCTTCTTCAATGTTGTTTTTAATTTTCTCCCACCTCGCGTTTATATCTTCGATGTCGTCTATTTGTTTCAGATGTATCTTCTATGCTAGCCTCCTTTGGTACATTTTTCTTGTAGAGTCGTTGTACAGTGATTTCACATAGATGACTGAAAGGTTATAATTGTGTATATTTTGGAATTCAATTACCTATCGGAACAACTAATAGCTAATAATAACCATTTTAACCCAAATTATTATTACAAAGATTTTATTTACTTTCCTTTTGCTTCTAATTTTGTTAATTTTTGCTTCACTAACTTGCTTTCTAAAACAAAATTTACAAAAATTGCAGCTTTTTTGTAAAATATTTTCACATACACACAAACAGAACACACTTAAGCATACCCATACTTGATACACTACTGCTACATTCTATTATTAAAACATTAAATACTGTTTAAATCCTCTTATTAACCTGCTTATCTAATCTCTTACACCAAACCAAACTGCTCGGTGCAAGGGTTGAGATACCGTTAACACAATGGCCGTGGTATGTCCGTTTTTTTTTCACGCTAGCAAAGACACCACCACTGCCAACGCTATGTCCCAACACCGACATCACCGTCAACCTGGGAGTCGAATGGGAAGGTACCGAGGAGAAAGAAAACGAAGAACCGCAGCCCGAAGCACAAGCCAAGACCAAATCAGTAGAGACCGGAAAAGTGTACACTTGTCATGCAGAGGTAAGGCATATTTGTTCCTTTTTATTGTTTTTGTATGTTCTTAATGTACATTAATATATAAAATTGATCTAAATAAGTCTCTTGCTGAGAGACTATGATGAGAAGAAGAAAATATTCTCGTTATAGATTGCCAATGTGTTGGAAATGCTCTTTACAGCATTTTGAAGAAACTATAAAGATAAAGAGCTGAGATCTTCGTACTTAAAAGCTCGATATAGTATATTGCGCCTCAAGTATAAAATGGTTCTCATGGTAGTAGTTAATGCCAGTGCGAAATCACAATTTCATGCCAATTTTTCACTATATAATTGCATCAGACAATTTCATTCTTTTTTTATTTGTAATTAAAGTGTCTTGACAGCTTATGGTCATTCACAAGGGTACAATTTACAACAGTATACATATTATACATACAAATATTTGATATGAACAGTTATTAGTGGTAAAGCTGAACAATAAAATTTAACATTATGCAGCGGTTAGATCAGCTGAAATAAACATAAAATTTTAGAACAGTCAAAACGGTTTGGAACACTAAGAATGTCTTTTAGCATTCCAAGCAAGTTGTGCTTGCTTCTAGAAGAATCATACTGGCAGCAGTCCATTATTACGTGTTTGATGGAAAGGATAGTGTTGCAGTTGTGGTATACTGGAGGGTTTTCTGATGCTCTATTCGTAGTCGGCTTGTAACTGAATTTTCTTTCCTGTTTATTGAGACCACATAAGTTGGGTTGAACTTCATGATGATTAGTTTTTGTTTTATTTCACAGGTCTGCCCATGAACTGAGAATTTTCTCTTTAGTCAGTATGTTAAGATGCGTATGAGTTTGGAACTCTTTGAAGGCTGAGTCGCCCAATATACCAACATGAGATGGAGTCCAGATCATTGTGACTGTTTTGTTAGTAGAATTTATGTAATTGATATGATATGTTGTGTATTTCTTGGACTATTGGATTTTTGGAGAAGATGCATCTTATTGAATGAATCAAGGAAAGAGAGTCAGTACAAATGGTGAAGTATTGCATATAACTCCACAGTGTAAATAACAGCTTGTAGGAAGTCGTACAGAGCTTATTGTCGTTGTCATGGTAGACAGAGCACAGCCCCAACAGTGTTCATTCTTACAAGGTTACTTGGGTTTGTTGATATTCTTTATTCAGTATGAAAGTTGTTTTCTTCTTAGATAGACTGATGGCTCTGACGATTCAACACAAATACTTTCAGTGGAGCTTGATTTGAAAGCACCAAGACATAGTTGTAGGGATGAATTTACAATCAATGAAGAGCTACTAAGTCATATAAAGAATACTGCCACAATTTAGCTTAGAACGGATTTACGCTTTATATATTTTAAGGAGAAATTTTTCATCAGCTCCCCAAAGAGTAACCAGCAAGAGATTGATTCTTTATGCACAGTTTCAGCAATCGTGGCAACTTTGTGCTTGCTCCGGTGCGTATTAAAAAAGACAGTGTGTAACTAAGTGTGTATAAGCGACTCAAGATGAAGGCATGTACCTAGTTATGTATTTCTTCTAATTCGATTAAAACTACAGTGAAACCATTGTTTTTTTTTATAACATTGAACCAACCAAAAGTACACACATATTTTTGGTCCTTCGAACCGAACAAGGATTGAATTGGTTGGACTGTAGTTTTAATGGAATTAGAGGAAATAGATAACAAGGTACATGCATTCACCTTGAGTCACTTATACACGCTTGGTTACAAACTATCTTTTTTAATGCGTACCTAGGCAAGCACAGCGTTGCCATGGTTGCCGTTTTAAAAAACAATAAAATTCTTAATCTATTTCCTTTGAAAGTAGGTAATTTTTAATAAAACTTTTTTTCTCTTTGCAAAATCAGTTACCATGTGACCATTTTCATTAATTGTTAAATACAAGCTGCATCTTTTTATCGTAGGCATAAATATGTCCTCTCTACATATTTTCACATTGGCATATTTAAGAACAATTTTGAGATTATACTTGGAGATGCTTTCATATACTTATTCAGTAAGAAGCGTGCATTTTTTACAAATGAATTTTTTTTTTAAATTCTCCCTTTGCTCTAAGCAGAATAAGGCTATCGGATATGCTCTCATTGCTAAGTCCAAAGTATTTTAATTGTTGGAGATGGACTTTGCTGAAGTAGCTTTGTTTGCTGACCAGCTCATTTAAAATTAAATTATTTGTCCTGTGGTTGTTCCACGGAATTCGTGATAGTCTTCTCCAACAGAGAAGTAGCATCTATCTTTCTTCTTTCCATCCTGGAAAGAAAAATACTTAGAAAGCCAGGTCTAGAAAAAGAAGAACATCCTGGTCAAAGAACCTCAGAACCTGGTTCAACACAACATCTGTGTAGCTTTTCGGCGTTGCTGAAGAAGAAGACCAACAGGAATACATTTGGCTCGAAATACACAGATAATTCATAATTTTCATAATCTTACTATTTTTATAAATTTCTACAGTTGTCGATAACTGTAAATGAAAATGTCTATTTTGTTTTAAAAAATTACATGTGATTCGAGAGAAATTTGAAATAAAAATCGATCAAATTTATCTTGGAAAATGATAATAAAATTACATTCAATTTGAGTTATCTAAAGAATTTTTATGATAAAAATAATTATCTATTTGTACTCATAGGTTGAATATTTTTATTCCAGGATAGTTTCTGCTGCGTTATATCCATGTACGATGGCGTGGTGTTATATACGACTCCAAGCTTGACTACAGTTTTGGGGTTCCCCAAAGATATGTGGCTGGGCAGATCCTTCATCGATTTCGTGCACCCCAAAGATAGAGAAACTTTTTCTAGTCAAGTCACTAACGGAATCGCCGTTCCCTTGGTGGATTCCGAAGGAAAGTACAAAGGTGAGTGTAGAGTTAAGGGTTTTTAACGTACTATGAGAAACGAGTACTTAAAAACCCCTGCTTTAAAATATTATCAATAATTTTTATAAATTATTTTATTCACAATTTTTGGGAATTACAGGTGAAGCTTATTTGGCCTCACTGCTTTTCAGTCTGTACTGGCTTTCTTGTTACTCCTTAGCTAATTGTAGTTGAAGATCCAGTGCTACTAGGTACATTATATATTATATAACAATACGTTTCTTTTATCTTTTAATATTTTCTCTACATAGCTCTTCCAGATTTCCTTTTTTGGTAACTTTAACATTTTACGTTTATAGATTCCTGCAGCTTCTTTGACTTCTTATAAAGATTACACTAGTCAGATGGTTGCTACAATATTTAAATTTTTTGACAGGATTTTTGATTCTTTGTTCTTTCCTGTCATAAATCTTGTAAACTTCTTTGTGTATAAATGACACTGAATAATGATTTTTTGTTAAATCTTCGTTAGTAGGATTTTTTCTTCCTGGAATACATTTTCCTTGCAGCAGGTATTTTGGGATGTATCATATAGTAATTTGATGATTCAACTTGATATTTATGTTGTGATTAGAGTGATCATTTAAATATCTGTTGGTGCTGGTTGGTTGTCTGTAGATTTAAATTGCAAATGTTATATCCTTCTTTGTGATTAACACATCCAAAAATGGTAGTGAGCTTTTTTTTCTTTTTTTTTATGGTCAATTTTATTTTATTATTCTCTGTACTTAATCCGTATCCGTATCCTGTTATCCCTATATAAAAATGTAGTATAGATAAATCGTTAAATATCGATATTTATATTTCAGATTACAAAAATTGCCTTTACGTATGCCTTCGAAAATATAGAGGATTAAAATCGTCTGGGTTTGGTGTCATAGATAAAGCAGTCTCCTATCAAGCGTTCCAGCTTACTGTGAAGTTTAAGCATTTTACGGACGCTTCAGAAATCAAATATTTAGAAAACAATAGCGGTATGTTCCTTGTTGTGATTGCCGTTCCTGTATATTCTCCATATAAAGGTAAGCATTCCATATCATAACATTTTTAATATTAAATACACAAACGTGGTCTTTAATTTGTTAAAATTACGGAACTAGCAAAATATACAGTGTGACCATAACCGTTTGATGTTAACTTGGCTCTAGTTCAATATTTGACCGTGCTAATCGAACCTACACGACTTGAGTAGTTAGCTGGATATTAGACTTAAAAAAGGTAATATTTCACGTAAATTTCGATATAAATGTTGACGTGAGATGTGAATTAATAATCTCAAGTTATATGCCAAAACATCACGTATTATGTAAAATGTTGGTACGTGAAGTAAAACGTCACGTTTAATGTCGAATGTCAAATTTCACGTCATATCTCATGTCAAATATTACGTCAAATGTCACATTCTTTATCTAAATATGCATAAAATGGTACGTTTCACGCCATGGTACAATAAAATTCACAGAGAGTTTATTGTACCATGGTTTCACGCCATGTCTGCGTAAAATCGACCTTAGGTCAACTACGTGTTAGCTAATTTCTCATTTGGTCGGGTTGTTCGGCAGAATATAAAGCTCAAATAGTATTGCTGTCCCTATTTGCTAATAAACCATAGTTTTAATTACAAATATTTTACCATAATTTTATTTGATTTTCTTTCGGAAATCGTTCTTGTCTCTTAAATCTCGAAAAGAACGATTTCCGAGATAAAAATCGCAACGTCAAATAATTTAAAGTATTTTTAAATAAAACTGTAGTTTATTCTCATTTAATATATAACATAACATAGTTATGCTACTATCGAATAGTATCAGGAATACCTTTTGAATTGTTTCAGTTCCTGAAGAAAAGAGATCGTCCCCGAAATTCGGAATGCGCCATACTGCTGGTTGTATCTTTAGCCATGTAGATCCGGATGTTGTCACAAATTTTGGATTTTTGCCGCAAGACATGCTGGGAAAATCGATTTTTGACTTCTATCATCCCGAAGATATGCCTTTATTTAAAGAAACATACGAGTCTGGTCAGTATTTTTCTCAACATTTATAATTTTTAGCGATAATTTATGTATTTACAAGTAAAAACAAGTTTTTTAAACAAGATTAAATACGCTAAAGGGTAGTTGTCATGCACTAGGGCAAAGATGCAATATTTGTACTTTAGTAGCATGTGTAGTTTCTTTCCAATGTTAAATAGTTAAGAGGCAGTAACAATACATCTTTTCTGGACAAATTTTAACGTTTTAATTGATCTTTCTAAAAAATATAAATCAATATCCAAACATTATTTTTCTCTTTGTATCGCAATATGTGAAAACGGTGTCTAAAATATCAGAAGCATAAAAAAGCTTATGAAAATTATTCTTCTTCTTACGGTGCCATTACATTTGCCCATTTAATCTTATTTGTAGCAGACCTGAATGGTTCTATGGAGGTCATGTTCGTCCATTGCCGTAGGTTTTTAAGCCAAGAGTTGCGTCTTCTTCCTGGTCCACTTTTGCTATTGACTTTGCCTTCGATTATAAGTTGGAACAGTTCATACTTTTAATTTCTTATGATGTGACCAAAATATTGTGTTTTCCGTTCTTTTATTATAAGCATAAGCTCTCTTTCTTTATTCATCCTCCGCAAGACTTCCGCATTTGTCGTATGGCTCATGTAGGATATTCTGAGCATTTTACGGTAACACCAGAGTTCGAATGCTTTCTTTTTTGTGTTGCTTCTGTCATTGTCTAGGTTTCAACACCATAAAGCAAGGTGGAGAAAACATAGCACTTAAGTATTCTAGTTCTCAATGAGATGCCCAGCTGGCGGTTACATAGAACTTTTTGCATTTTGTAAACATTGTACGTGCCTTTTCCAGACGTATTCTTATCTCTAGTGAGTGGTCCCAAGTTTCATCAAGATTACTTCCAAGGTACGTTGTTCTTGTTACTCTTTCCAGAAGTGTTCCGTCGACATTGACCTTCACCCTTCTGTTTCGGTGCTTGCTGATGACCTTGCTTGCTTGGTGAAAATTATTCTAGTGGCAAAAAATAACAGACTTGTACACCTACTCTGACATCTTGTGATTTAAATCTGTGTCACATGGTTGCATATGCAGTAAAGGGGACATTTTGGATCATTAAAACTGTGATAAATAAAACAGCAAGCATTATGGAATAAATCACTGAAAAGAAATGCCTATATATTATATGTCTTTGAATGTCTTGAAATTTCTTTGAATGTCTTTTTTTGAGAAATCTGCACATCTATTTAACTTAATTTTTCTAAAAGGCCATGCTTGGGTATGAGAACGTATAAATCGCCAACTCAAGAAGATGAACATGTCTCAAGAAGAGAACATTTTTAAAAAAAATTTGACGGACAACGGACGTCTTGTTTTCTTTGAGACAGTTAATAGATAAATATGGCGAGAAAAAATGAGAGCTACATTTGGTATTTATAGATCTTAAGAAGGCGTATGGCTCAGTTACTAGACAAGAGCTATGGAGATGTATGAGAGACAAATAAGTTCCTAAGAAGTACGTGAGGCTCGTGAAGGATAGGTATGTGGGAGCGTACACCAAAGTAAGGACTTGTGTCGGATTTACTGAAAGTTTTCCAATGACAATAAATTGGTTTGCATCAAGGCTCTTCATTGAGTTCTTATCTGTTTAATCTTGTTATGGATGTACGAACCGAGAAAGTAAGGAAGGAGCAGGACTGGAGAGTGCGAAATAAACTACTTTTACTACAAATTTTACACTATACAAGAGTAGTATAGCTACGTAGCACCATCTAATATAATTGACAGAAAATAGACATAACTGTGTATACAAGATCTTTGCATTATACATATAGAGCCCGCTGAAATATTTTGTAATTAATTTTATAGAGGACAGCATATTAGGTATTATAAAATATGCTTGCCTGTGTTTTCTTTCTAAAATTCTTCATGCACACTACAACACGACATTACTCCAGTCGTCAGAGATGAAAATGCCACTGAACCTCTAAAAATCATACAAACAAACTGAATTTTGCCGAGAATATTAATTCTGGGACATCAAAAAAGATGCAAAATAGTTTTACCCTGGGCTTCACCCTAAAACCCCCCTCGCAGGGGTGTAAAAACGCAAAAGAAATGATTTACCAAGAATCTTAAAAAACATTTTAAATAAAGAATGTAGCTGAGGTGATTTTAAACAAAATTGTTTATTAGCGCTTTTTGTATAGAACTGACCGTTCTCTCAGAAGCAACGCTTGAAGCGACCGTCAATTAAGAATGTCAGTTAGGCGCGCGAAATCAATAAAATGTTCAATAAATGTTCAATAAAATTTGTATCAACTCGACGGTAAATATTCGTAAATATCTTTTGATTCAATTGCAATATCTACAAAAATCAAGATGCGTTTTAAAGGTAAAGAGTTTAGCTTTCGTATGTAATTTTTATATTTTACTGCAAATAAACTCAGATTTTATAAAGGTGTTAAATAAATAAACGTGACGCGATCATTTTTTATGATTCTCGTGAGATCAATACAATCTACCCCTTTCATTGACTGTCCACTATGAAGTTTCGATTACTAGTTTTCTTTATTTGTTTGACTCTTATTTTTGTATAAATTGTAAAGTTTGATATATTTGAAGTGAATTCTTCTTAATTGTAATTTGATCTTATTTGCTTTCAGTGATGAGAATGTGCCAAATAGCTGGATCAGTATTCCGTAGTAAGCCGTATAGATTTGCAGTACAAAATGGAACTTTTGCAAAAGTAGAAACAGAATGGTCTAGTTTTATAAATCCCTGGTCTAGAAGACTGGAATTTGTTATAGGATTTCATAGAGTGATAGAAGTAAGAAAACGATATAGTATTCAAATATGTTTTCCGCAAATCGCCAGGAAATTTTGACATTCCTGTCAAAATTTCTTGAAGAAAAAGTCAGGACTTCCTTACTGTAAGGAAATGTCATTTCCTTACTGTAAGGAAATGATATTTCCGTACAGTTGTTAGTGTTCTACATAAATGATAGAAAACACATTGCTTATAAGGAATTAATTTATATTTTGAAAACGTCAAGTCATTGCTGAATACATTTTTAAGATCAATTTGTTATATTTACAGTAATTTGAGAGTTAGTACAATTATTGAACATTGGAGGAACACTCTTAGAACTATGAGAAACATTTTGGACAACATGCAGGGTGGAAGTGTCATTTTGTTGAATATTTTGTACTGTGAAAATTTTATTTGCCACCTCAACCTTATTGTTAAGCGATTCTTCGATATATCCTTCAGCAACGTTTGATGACTTCCATCCGCCATGACTCTTTAAACTAGTTATGTCGGCACCAGAGTCAACCAATATTGTTGCAGAAGACCGACGAAAGCAGTGACCAGTGTATTCTGTCGGATTTACCAAGTTCAAATAGGTAGCAATTATTTTGGGCATTTTTCTAAATTGATGAATTCCTACCACTTGTCTACAACCCTTTCTGCTTTGATATTTAAAGAAAAATCGGTCACTGTTCATATTTTCTGGTCTTAACGAAACATACTTTCGATAAACATTCAAGTAGATCTGATTAATTACAAATGATCTTGGTTTGTTGGTTTTCGAATCAGGTATGCTGATTAAAAGCTTAGATTCTAAGTCTTCTATATCGTGTACAGTCATTCGGACTAACTCATCCATTCTACAGGCCCCAGAAATACCAAATATTACAGCCACCTAAAAAATAAATAAAGCTATAATCTAAATGGAAATTAAAACCTTGTAAATTACCTTAATCATTAAATTTTCTTTATCTGGAGCTTCCTAGATAAATTTTTCAATTTCTTCCTTCGTTAAAATCTTAGATTTCTTTGCCCTATAACCTTGAGCTTGCCGTTTCAATAAAGAACGAAGTTTTGAGTATGTAGATATATCGACATTGTGTTTAAGTGCAAGGGTTGACTTCAGCATTGAATAATTGGCCCATAATGTTGAAGATTTCATCTTTAAACAAAGGTCTAGGAAGTATGCCATTACAACATTTTCTGAGAAAGAACTCGTATTTTTACTCATGCGATAATCCATAAAGCGTCTGTATGCATTTTCGTACTTTTCTCTTGATTTCTTTGGCAATAATTCTAATGAAGCAGTATTCACTGCCTCAACCAGCTCTGGAGGAGTCCCAGGAATGGAAATTTCATCATCACTTATCATTTTACTTTCGAGAACACCAGCAATTAAATTTATAAGCGTCAAGTTTGACAATTCAACCTCAATACGTTTCCATAGTAACCCAAGTAATTTTATTAGGAATTTCAAAGCACCATTTATTTGGGAATAAAATTATCGCGTTTTTTTTAAATCAATCAATATCTGTCGAATTTTAAACGATTTGCGGAAAAATAGTATGTTTACCTCGTAGGAAAAGCCACATTCCTGGACTCTGTGTTGCTAAGTCTCGGCTTGCGCCTCGACTTAGCAATCTTCACAGTCGTCCAGGAATGTTAAGCTTTTCCTACCCGGTAAACAATGTACTATTACTGAAATATTAAACTTTTTAGGGTCCTATTAATCCCGATATTTTTGAACCGCCCAAAATTGAAATTACTAAGAATGTATCAGATGAAATTATTAAGGAAAGTAAAATCATACGAGCAGAGATAATGGTTTTATTAAATAAGGTAGGTTTAAATTTATTTTTTTATAAAACTGCGGTAAGAAATATAGTAAAACGCTCAGATTTGTGGGTTTTGATAGTTCTGCTTTAAAATATAGTGCGGAGGCTGGTTGTTCCGGTAATTAAATATGTAATTAAAATATTTATTTTTTAATTAAGTGTGTACCGGTAAAGCAAGACATATCGTATCTGCCAAAGTTAATTTTGAGCATTTTTATTTTTATTTCTCCTTACAGGGACCCTCCCTCTTGTCACATGCTTGCATTGATAACTGATGTACAATAGTTTTTGTAACTACTCTTCTTATTGTTAGAATTTTTAATAGACTAAAAGAACTTTATAGAAACAGATGTAAATCTAAAATTAACGTAAATATATAGTTCAAAATTTTTAAATTCAGAAAAAAATGCAATCATATCCGCGCACTTTTTTATTTACTTTCAAAATATAAAACCTAAAAATATAACATATTTTCTAAAATTAGAGCCTTTTCATTATTACACTTGTAATTTATCGGAATATTAATTGCACAAACAATAGTATGTCCATTCTCGGCAATTTTGTCTAGAGCATAAAATTTGTTAAATTGCTTCGTGTGTAGAACTTGAATGTTGTTTTTTTGTAGAAAAATCTTCGAAATTCAAATCATTTTTCGTTAAAACGCTTTGCAATTTAGCTTTATTTGATAGAGTACGTTGTCAAGCACTATTACACTATTGATTTCTATGTTTGGGATCAGTGAGTTTTCAAACCAGTCTTCAAAAATATCAGCTTTCATGCTTTTGTAATAGTCAACATTATAATTCTCTATTTTCTTCCCAAATAATTTTAAAGCATTTGGAACCCATCATCACCATTGTTTCCTCGTACGTTCTGCAGAGGGACCGTTGCAGGTGAAGAATCCCTGCTAAGTCCATCTTTGTTTATGGACTATTTGAGGTTTGGTGTACCTAATCTTGAAAAATACTGGGTATTTCTTACATCTTCTTCTTATGGTGCCTATCCGTTATGGATGTTGGACACTAACATGGCTATTCTGACTTTGTTGACTGCTGCCCTGAAAAGCCCGGTGTTAAGTGGTTAAGTTAAACCATTTTCGCAGGTTATGCAGCCAGGATATTCTTCTTCATCCTAAAGCTCTATTTCCATGCATTTTACCTTGAAGTATGGTCCGAAGTTCAAAAACAGCTATATGTGTGCTTTGTCGATTATAGAAAGGCCTTCGACCGCATTAGACACGAAAAATTGATTGAGGTGCTAAAAGAAGTAGGGCTGGACGGACACGACATAGCTATAATAAGCAATACATACTGGAACCTTACGGGATGTGTTCGAAGAAACAACGGAAATACCAATTATGTAAACATAGAACGAGGAGTGCGTCAAGGGTGCATTCTGTCCCCTCTTCTATTTAATGTCTATGCCGAAAATATCATCAGAGCTTCTCTTGAAAATCGCCCTGAAGGTGCCAGAGTCAATGTAAGATATGCCGATTAACAATGTAAGATATGCCGATGACACCGTAGTATTAGCAGAAACAAAAGACCAACTAAAAATATTGATGAACATACTATCAGAAGAAAGTCACAGACTAGGTTTGGATATTAATCTTTCCAAAACCAAAATCATTGTATTCCACAAGAACCCCCATGAACAAATTACACCCAACATACAAATCAATGGTATGACCCTTCAGAGCTCCCAAAGCTTCATATACCTGGGCAGAGAGCTAAACAGTCAGCTAGACCACTCAAAAGAAATTAGAAGACGTATTGAAATAGCAAGATCTGGCTTCATGAACATGCGTAAAATGCTCTGTAACCCCAAGCTATCAATCACAATAAGGTTAAGAACACTAAAGTGTTATGTGTGGTCTCTACTACTATATAGCTGTGAGACCTGGACATTAAAACAGTATGACGTCAACAAACTGAATTCATTCGAAATGTGGATGTACCGCCGAATGCTAAGAATAAGCTGGACCAGCAAAACTATAAATGAAGAGGTACTGGAAATAATGAACACACGACCTCATCTGGTTAATACAATCAAAATTAGAAAGACGTCATATCTAGGACACATAATGCGCCATAAGGAATTTGAGCAGCTCCAGGTAATATTAGAAGGCAAAATCGAGGGTAAAAGGGGTATAGGAAGAAAGAAGAAATCCTGGCTCCGAAACATCAGAGATTGGACTCACACAACAGGAAATGACTTAATCCATCAAGCCCAGAGCAGAGAGAAATTTACCATATTGATCGCCAACCTCAATAGAGAAGGCACTTAGGGAGGAGGAGGATGGTCCGAAGTAGGTCATATCGTTGTTATATTGGATGCATGTTGAGGAAATCCTCAACATGCATCTATAGCACCACATTTCAAATTCTTCGAGTCTCTTCAGTGATGCTTCAGTTAAGGTCCATGACATACCTGAAACCGGTATTTAGGGACCAATTCACTAGTTCATTTAAGTGTTTGAATATTGACGCCATACAATTAACATTCTTTTTTTTTATGTAAATAATTAGGTCATCAGCATATAATCTTGCCTGAACCGGTTTTGCAATGACATTCGCTTGGACTTGAAATGTTGTTTGAGTTAAAAAATAACAATTTACATTAATAATTTAATTTTCTTCCTTTTTTCTAGGAATTACCTCGTCCCAACGAGGCTGTCAAACACGAGGTCTCCAAACGTTGCAAAGACCTTGCAAACTTTATGGAATCTCTCATGGACGAAGTGAATAGAACAAATTTAGAGTTAGATTTACCGCAAGAGATCGATCCTACCATCTCGGTAAGTCTAAAACGAAGGGTAAGTGTTTTTTCTGTATACCGCTGTTGGCTTTCTATTACTGACCAGAGTACATCCATTAACAATCGACGAGGGACGAGGTGACAAGAACTAAAATATACTATAAGATGTAAATATTGCTTTTTTAAATATTTATTTCAATGATAGATTGGTTGCGTTCTCTTTTACATTGATTATTTTTAAAATTAAAGTAATACTGGGTGTTCTACTTATCATATATCTATCAATTCGACAATTATATGGCAAAGCTCCATGAGCAGTGCAATTTTAAAATTCGGCTACCTACAACTCACCTTTACGTTTAATTTTTATTTTAATCTACGTATGATAAGTACAACGCTTTCTCAAAAAGAAAGGTCGAAAGAAATTTTGTAGACCGAAACGATCTTGGAAGAAGAATGTTTATAAAGAAAGATCTATTATAAATAGGTATTTCATAAATAGCCAACAATTTTTGTTTAAAATCTTCTTCTTCTGGTACTATTTCCGTTTAAGGAGTAATGTAAAATTTCTTCTGCAAAGTGAATTTTTCATTTGTATAAATTTACCAAGCAAGTTTTCAATTCCAGTTTTTAATTCGTGTGGATCGTCATTTTCTAAATATTATTAGTATTCCCAAGTACGTGTACTTCTCTGCTCTTTTGATATGCTGACCTCCTACTATTAGGGTTACGTAAGTATTGTAAAAAAAACATGATTTTTAAATATATTGGGAAAGAGGTGATGGATTCGATCGTTACTTGATGGAAATTCATTTTATCTACCAATAAAAGTCATTCAGAATTATGTCTATTTTTGGATGTTTTAATTTGTTAATTTCCATAGATTCTAATACAGATAGCTTGGGGCCTTTATTTTGGATGAAAAGGATTTTGAAATTTGTCATTAAAAGAATCGTTATGGTCTAGAAGGTGAAATTTGTACGTAGAATCCGTTTTTTTTATTGTTGAAAGCTCTTTTATGTTCTGCTATACGTTTGTTAAAAGTTCTACCATTTTGACCGATGTAAGTTTTTGGGCAGTCGCCACATTTAAGTTTGTATGCACCACTGTGTAAGTGCTCTTGTTGTTTTTAATATTATTATATTTGAATAAGTTTTTGTTTGTTTAAAGTTATTCCTTGCTTTTTAGGAATAACACCTTATAAAAATTTTAATCTGCATTTTAATCTGTGTCTAACCTTTAGTATTTTGTTTTGGCGTTATGTTGTAGTTTAGCACGGTTTAAATGGGTCAGTGCTCTTTTCCATTGGGCCGTAAGTTGGGCTTGGTGTTCAAAACTGTATGTCATATTGCTGGACAAAATGTTGAAATTTTTTTGAGTTAAATGGTGGTCCATTATTTAATTTCCTGAGTAGACTTTTAGACTTAGAGTCATAGTCAGAACAACAATCGCGAGAATAGTTACAGTCACTATTTAATGACTCAGAGTCGGATTCGTTTATTGTGTTCAAGTAATTATTTTTGCATAATTTTCAATAATGCCCCTTTCTGTGACAATAGCTGCAATATCAATAATAAGCTAAATACTTACCCTGTCCATGTTTCATGCCAAAATTCTGGCATTGTGAGTTACCTGACTTCTGTAGGTTGTGGTTACAATGCCTCTTCTAAGTCATTTACACTGTAAAAACTTTTATTTGTCTTTTTATGCCTACTTACAAATCCACGTTGTTTTATTTATAACAGGAATGTGTGGTGCATGTTCTGGCATCTTAAGCATAATAACGCAAGCTCTGCGTATTTCAACTGTTGAATATGCGTGAACCGTTGGTAATAGATCTGTCCACATTAAAAAAGTGGACACTTCGCTTAATGAGACATGCAGTTCCATATCCTATAAGAATCTCGAACATCATGACAGCAACTAAATTACAAGAAAAGCTTCCTTGGAATAGTGCAGGATGAATTACCACAATATTTTTGTTGTCCCCAGATTCAGTGGACTGGTCAATCTTCAGAAAATAATCCCAGATGACCCAGACTGAGCCTATGACTCTGTGAATAGAAGAGAAATATTCAAAGCAATAAAAGAGCTAGAAATACCAAATCAGTTGATAAATTTAACAAAACTAACTCTTGACAAAAGTCCCTCTCTCCTGTATTATGTTTAATCTGGCTTTGCAAAAAGTAAAACGTATATTACGAACCACAATTATTGGTTCCAGATATAATAAATAAGTGTCCTTACCTGTGCTAGTGACATCAATATTGTTGGGAGAACGGAAAAAGCTGTACGAGAGGCGTATGTAGCATTGAAAGAATCTATTGCTTGTTCTTTATTTTTATGGCGTGAAGGTCATTGTAGTTAGTCTATTTGTTTTGCTTTCAAGGATTCCCTAAACATTTTGTGACTCTAAACTTTAAATTATATGATTAGGATGGTTTTATTGTATAATGTTTATTGGCATTACCGATATCTGACTAGCGGAAGCTACTCTTTCTCGGGAACTACAAACACAATACATTTATCTAGTTGATCTGATTTCATATTTAGTGTAGACCATATCAAAACATAAAAAAATGAGTAATAATGATATAACTAGAAAATAATAGGAGAACTGTAGTTATTTGGAATAAATTGTGTATTGGGTGTTGAAGAATAATAAGAAACTTAAACTCCTTCGAGGAAAGTTAATTTGTAGTAAAACACGTTAACGTAAAAGATAGATACCATATAAATTAAAAAACAATATTTTGTATGTATATGTACTCGGTAAATATGAATTTAAGTCAAGAGATAGTCAATTATATAGATAATTTAAGTTTATATGTTACCATTAATTTTAACACTTTAATAATCATTGTTTTTTTTTGCGTAATTTCGAAAGTTGTGGCACACCCATGTTTTTAAAGCTTATCAACCTAGAGATATAGTATTATTTTACATTTAACAATAGAAATCGTATGACAAACGCAACTAATTTGTTAGAAACAATCTGGTGGTGTGGTTATTAAAAAGTATACTGAAAAAAATGCACAAATCTCTTTTAAAAATTGTCTTATTCGATTTTTCAGCTTGGGTTAGGTTCTAATTTTTCAGAAAGTAAGTCTCAACAGTAGGTAATGGCAGAAAGCTCCTTTAAAATCACTTCTAACGTGGCGCGTGTGGAAAAACATAATAAAATACTGTGCGCATAGTCAGGTCAGACCGCAATCCAGTAAGATACAGGGGGAATATTATACCTAAAATGTCAGTAAGTTCCAAAAAAAGTGACCTAAGGCGTCTGACTGAAGGTTGGTTGGTTGATTTTTTTTTCGAATATAGTGCGACAAACCTCTACACCGGTTTCTTTGCACTTGACAAGAAACTGACACTATTATTTCTTCTATGATAAAAATACGTTTACATGGTTTCAAATAAACTGAAGGAAGCCTTAGGAAAGTATGCTAAATTTTTGGTATTGATTATATTTGTAATGTAAACATAATTTTATCTTTTTTTCCATTTATGGCATAGTTGGCATATAATTCGTCTAAAAAATTTATTTCACTAATATTTACCATTATTCGAACACTACTACGAATTTTACTAAGTTATAGCTAATTATATATCAGTCAACTATTTTTTAGTTCCGTTTCGCCTAGGCAATGCAGTTATATCTATAGATAACCTTTAGAAACGTTGTCAATTAATGATGCTGCTACTGTTACTACTTTTAGGAGATAAGCATTTTGGAGAAACATTCTACCGAGATATTGTAGAGGCCCTGAAAATAACTAGGGGCAGATGAATAACTATAGGTGAGGACAATTTCATAGCGAGAGTCGGCAGTAGAAGAGCTGCAATAATAGTGGGAGATCAGTGACTAGAAGAACGTAACGAGAGAGGAGGAGTTCACGTAATCTTCCCACTGGAGTTTGTTTGGTAATGGGAAGGTCCTGTGGTCGATACACCCCGGCCATTAGAAAGAGATGCAAGAACTCCTCAAATATTTTTTCTCTGTTTTTTTCTTCTTTTTTTTTCAATAGTATGTAGTATACTGTTGCTACTGTTACGTTACTTTTTTTTGTTTTTTAATATATATTGCTTAGACCTGGATTGTTTGTGTTCATTTCCTAGTGGTGTGATATGATCTGCTTTATTAATAATGAACTATCTCCTTTGGTTACGTTTTCTGGATGGACTGTACCTAGAGTTTTAATGTTTTAGGAACTTAAGAAGTTATTATTCAATACAATATTATGATGTTCTTATTAGTATTTTTATATTAAGTTAAACTAAATTTTTTACCGAATTAGGTGCTTACTATGTCTATGATCACTACATGTGTGAATTTGTCACGCTATAAATAATATTCCCTTCTAGTTTTATATTTATTATTAAAAATGTTTAAACTACCTGACTGTTGTATACTTACTAGAAGTGTAGCTTGCAGGTACTATTTCTCTATTAAAATCGATAAGAACACTATGAAATCACTACAAGGTCATACCGATTGCTTACACATATTTTCGAAATGGTTTATTTCATAAGAAAATATGTAATTACTTGTGGCACTTCAACTTTTTTTGAATAAAAAGAATGTGCCATTCAATAAATCATCAAGTAAACTAATCAACATTGAAATTAATATATCGAACACTTTATTTCTTATTTAGGTTTAACAAAATTCGCTTATACCATACGAGGATAAAATCTCGGTACATTTTAATCCATTTACCGACTGGCAGCTCTTCGGTTGATCCAAAACTTTCTAAAATCACAAATTCTGTACTAGTTTGTCTGGAGCAGTATTTTTTCCATTTCGTTTTGTCTTTAGTTGATATACTATTTCTTCCTTTGTAATTTCTGCACATGTTTTTTTTTTCTTTGAAAGATTTGTGCCCTTTGGTCTTCAAACAGGTGACCAGAAATGAATAAGATTTAAAAACTCAGTGATCAAAATAGCAAAAGAAGTGTATGGGACTACAAGAAGTAACTGAAGAGAAAAACAAGCATATGTTGGAATGAAGAAATAGAAAGGGAAATATTACAAAGAAGAAACTATGAAAGGAGTAGGTACATTATAGACAAAACACAACAAAAATATGAAAATTACAAAAGACAGAGAATAAATGTTAAATAAATAGTAAAAAAACAGAAAAAGAAAAGTTGAGACAAATTTGGAGAATATATGGAAGAAAACACCAAATAATATGAAAAATTGATTTAAAATCACTAATAAATGTAAGCAGTAACATTCAAATAAATAAGGAACAAGAAAAGAACAATAATAACCGACGATAAGGAAATAATGGATATATGGAGGTGGTATTTTGACCAATTACTAAATGGAGAGTGACCAAAAGCAGCAGATAAAGAAAACAAAGAAATGAAAAAATACAAGCAAAAAATATTGTTAACACAGAAGTTGTAAAAAATGAAGGGCTAGAAGAGCATTAGAGAAAATCAAGATTCGAAAACCCCCAGGGAGAGATGAAGTAAGTCTTGAAATGCTGAAATTGAAGAAAGTAAAGAAAAAACAACTATGCAGATACAATTTTGAAAAACAAAGCAAACACCGAAAGAATGGTGAAACGCAATAATTATACTAACAGAAGAGGGAAAACACAAGAGACTATGTGTACAAGCTAAAGTATTCAAAATCATAATAGAAAGGGAAATCAGAATAGAAACAGAATACAAATTATAGGATGCTTAAGCCGGATTTGGCAGAGGACACAATATCATTTATTCACCATGCAAATAAGTAATAGAGAAATCAAACTCTATCGTATGCTTTTCCAAGATAAATGAATACTTTATGAGCATTTGTTTCTATATTTCTTTATTTTTTATCAGCTGCCTTACAATGAATCTATTTTTACAAATATCTGGAAACCTGGGTAAATAAAAACAATTACCAATATACAGAAATAAGGACACCCATTAAAATTACAAGACAAGCATTTATAAAAATGAAAACAATGTTTGTTAATCGAGACCTTCCTCTGGAGCTGAGGATAAGAGCTTTAAGATGCTACGTGTTCTCGACTTTTTTGTATGGAATGGAAAGCTGGACACTAAAAGTGGATAATAGAAAAAAGTTGGAATAATTTGAGATGTGGTGCTATAGAAGGATTTTGAAAATACCATGGACTCAACGAGTTACAAATGCAGAAGTGTTAAGAAGGTTACAAAAGAATTGCGAGGTCATTAAGCACATCAAAACAAGAAAGCTGGAATATTTAGGCCACATTACCAAAGGAGCGAAATATGAGATATTAAGGCTCATAATGCAAGGTAAAATCAAGGGTAAAAGAGCCATACGAAGACGAAGAATTTCCGGACTGAGAAACCTAAGAGAGCAATCCTTTCAGAGCAGCCGCCAATAAGGTACGGATAGCTGTGATCATAGCCAACCTCCGATAGGAGAAGGAACTACAAGAAGAAGAAGAATAACTCCTTCGTTTTTGTAAACAGGTCCCAATATACTTCTTTTTCATTCGTCTGGCTTTTGTCCCATATCCATAATTTTTTTTTAACAAACCTATTGACCAACTTGTTCCTGATTTATATTTGGGAGACGTGGTATAATTTTGTTTTCTAACTTTTCTTGACTGTTGGTCTTATTTGAATTTAACTACTATTAATACATAGTCATTTTTTGCTGTTCTGTAGCTTCTAGATAATTTCTTAATTTGTAATGTCTAAATAAAATTTTTCTTTACTTCAAACTACCTAAATATTATCACAAAAAAATTTCCACGTCAATTCATATTCTAAAAATAATAAAAATTCATTAATTTCATAGTGTTTTCGTCTTACACAGTAGTAATCTCTATACATTTACAGTATTTTATTGTTAGTTTTTTCTTACTATCAAAACATTTACTAATGTTTACAAATAATGTTCTCACAATTTTAAATATTTCCATGTTTTGAGGACAATATTAATTTAAAAGAAAGATTATTTGTAGACAGTAGACCTAAAAATCTTTATGCTTTTCTAGTTCATACAATAATATTAATTTATACTGACGTTAACAATCTAACAAAGCTTTAAAATTTTGATTAAGATTAACTTAACTTGAGAGCATTTAAGAGTCGCCAATATTTTATTTTTCTTATCTACTTTTTTCTTCTTGAGCTCCTTATCTATCCGACAATACAAAATGGTAATATAGACAGTTATAATTGTTTTTTTTTTGTAATTTTGTTGAAAACTGATGACACAGGGATCATTTTAGTAATTGCATTTTATTAGATGTGCCTTTTAGTCTTAATATTTATCGAATTGTGTAACTATTTTGTATTGTAGGATCGAAAAAGGTGTATTGACTTATAATAGGGTGGTGTAAATAATACAAATATATATATATATATATATATATATATATAGAGAGAGAGAGAGAGAGAGAGAGAGAGAGAGAGAGAGAGAGAGAGAGAGAGAGAGAGAGAGAGAGAATGTGAGTTCCCAGTACATAGCGAACGTGGTCTCAGTGTCCATAGGTTTACTGCTAAGAAGCGGCAATTTATAGGAACTCTTAACAAAGAAGTACAATTAACAATATTTTTATTTCCTTCTAGTTCGCAACCTGAAAGCAATAAAATGTTTGTTATAATTTACTCAAAGCGTTTTAGTAAAAGTAGAACCAGCATTGAACTAAAACAGTGTATACCGCTCCTTGACTTTTTATTAGTGCTTAGCAGGATAGATATTAAATATGTGGAATATTATCAGCAAACAAATGTTTGAAGTTGAAGATATCGGTAGATAGTCAGAGAAATTAGGGGTACTAATCAAACGACAAATAGTTTAAAAATATCTGGAGATCCTGCAAACCTAAAGAATAATTTAAATAAATTCGTTCTCGAAGTATCCCAAAATTGTGGCGTGATACACCAACTATAATGTTTATAAGCAACATAACACTAAATATCAACACTATTTATCTAACACCACTAAGCATCAATGAGGTACTTAATTGTTTTAGTACAAAAGTTGAAAACGGATCATAGTTCAGGATAATCTACTTTATTCAGGATAAATTCAGGATAAAAGATCTACTGTCAATATAAATAGAATCATCAGAAAGAAGGAGATTTCTATTCTATAGTGACTTTTTGTCTAGTGTTATAAACACCAAAACGAGTTCTTTCATTTTAATTTACTCCATTTTATATTATTGTATAATCAGTCAAATTTCTAATTCTTTAAAGTTCTATTTTTAGTTAGTTTTTTAAGTTTTTTTTTTTGATACGACAGCTATTTTTTATTTTACGATTTTTTAGTTAGTGGTTTCTTTTTTGTTGCATTGATTCTACCCCTGTACAGTCTACAATAAGTCCCCTACTACAATTGACGGGATCACCTATAAGTAGCATAATAGTTTAGTATTTTATGGGTCATTTTTAAAGCAGAAAAGAGGTTTTTAAAATTTAAAATTTCTATTTCCTGTAGTTTACAATATACAAGTTTAAAATTATATAAATTAAACATTTATTCTCACCCTCACACCTATTTAATAAGGAAACATCAAGTCAATACACCTAAAAATTTAGTGGCTGACCTCACAGCCAAGCCAAGTGTTATATAAAAACTTTTTTCAGGAGCGTGATTCGGTTATGCTGGGAGAAATATCTCCATACCACGATTACTGCGACAGTAAATCCTCATCCGAAACGCCTCCCAGCTACAATCAACTGAATTACAATGAAAACCTACAAAGGTTTTTCCAAAGCAAGCCGAAAACCACTCTTTCCGAAGAGAGCAGTAATGCTATTCAGGCTGAAGCTGATGTAGATGTTAAAGTCCGGCAAGTGAACAATCAGTAAGTATCAAAAATGATTTGTTTTTTATTTTAATTAATCACATCAACTACTAGGTTATTAGCGAAATAATCGTTTTTGTGTAGTGTGTATATTGTGTATTTCATTCTCCTATTCTACAAGACAATTATTTGTGTCAGAAAATTTCAAATTAAGCAATTCAAGCCTTTTAATATAGAGCAAAGATCTCCATAATTAAGACACATTTCTTAGTTCACTGACACAGAAGATTCACTCATTTCTCAATCCCCTTCTGGGCTTTCTTGGTATATTTTGGTCTCCATATCTATTTTATATCCACGAAGTAGGGCAAAATATTCCTAGAGGACCATGTCTTCTTGGGCCAATGTTCCTCAATATTTAAGAATCTTTAATCAAATGAAAGGTAGATATCGAGCACAATTTTATTAATTAAATCTTGCCCAAGTACTTTCGCTTCCTAGAGCATCTTCAGGGACATTTCTTCAATTTTGGCCTATCCAACAATCACAGAATGTCATAAACATAAAATTGTAACAAGATGTGTAACAAGATCATTGACCTGTTAGATTTTATATTTTATTTTAATATTCTCAGAAGATGCAGAATCATATATAACTATTCTATATTTCGATAAAGTAAAAGGGCTCGTTTTAACCACATCGGATTTTTTTTTAAAGTCTCTAAAAGATTTAAAAGTGAACTTCTTACAGCTTTTAACTAATCAATACCATTCTTCGGGTACATACAAAATCTCTTTTTTACGGTTTTTTTTTTCAATTTGTGCAAAATCTTGGTTACACGGTAAGAAACTGTGACTTCTCTCGGATAAATGGTGTACTATTTTTGAGAATCTTGAAAGTTGAAAGGATATGGATCATAACAGCATTTTTCATATAACTGACTAATTTATTATTAAAAGAAAAGTAAAAAAGCTGATTTTAAACCCAGATCTACCTAGCATAAAATATTTCCCCCGTAGTACAGATTTTGTACCCATTTTAACACTATAGCAATAAGAATACTTTTCGTTTCACGTACGTTGGTTTTTCTTCTTTTAGATACTTTTCTTACGAGCGACCCTAAATAACTATCTTGAATGTTCTTATCTCCAATTGCATAAAATGCTGCAAATAGTCCATCTTTCTCCATTTCCGTCAGTTTTTCAAAGGACCGGCTACGACACTCATACCTGGACCCTTGTTTCTTTGCTGCAATAGTTTTACCACTACAAGTTGTGTATTCTGGTTCAGAATTTCTTTGCAATTTTCTAATATTTCTTTTCCAAGCTTGGGGAGTGTCCTTGAGCTGAGCTTCTTAGTATTTTAGCAGCTTATCTGCAATTACATTTTTTATGAGCAATATTTTGTATTTTTAAAATTTTAAAATGACTTTATTTATTATCGTTGTTTTAAGTCATAATTTTTGCTTCTTTTGTTGCCACTTTCTTCTTCCACTACATAATGTTGGTCAGCATCATTATATCGGAATCATGTATGGATCACTTTCACCAGAAAACAGTAAAACTAACCATTTTCTAAGAGCGATATAAATACTGCACTTTACAAACGACGAAAATGTGAGGTTAGAACTTCCTTAGCAAAAACCGATCATGTGAATCACATGGCCGGAATACCATCGATCCTAAGGACTATGCTATTAACTGTGCGGAAGTATTTTTGAAGGCAAGAAATGCCATAAACATAATTTCGACCAAAATGGTCTTTGACCAGTTTTGCACCAAACCCTTCAATTTTGGTATGAACGCTCCTTAATATAGGCGTAATATAGGCCCTTCGACTTGTTATATTTTCGGTATTACTTTTGAAAATAATCTGGCTATTGTCAGTCGTAATATTCACAAGTCTGCAAAATACCGACCATCGGTTGCTTATTCTGGTTACTAAATATTCTGCCTTTAGAGGATTCACAACGTCAACCCTTTCTTTTGTGGCATTACAGAATGTTATGACATTAGGTTCATGCAGTTCTCCAGAACGTGGATCTATAAAATCCATTTCGTGAAAGGTTGACAACATCAAAACGTTCTTTTTTTTTCTTAGCAACGTAGAGCAATAAGAGGCAGTGTTTGTTTGGATTTTTCTTATCATTAAACAAGAACATTGAACTATTTATTTTTCGGAACTCAACATCCAAGAATTCTGGAGCGATTAGTACCCACTACAGTTAATTTATGATTTAAATAGATCATTGGTAAAATCAACTGACGTGTAATAAATATCCACGGTAATATTTCTTCCTAAATTATCTATTAGGGATATTAACCTTTTTACTACACTTTTGGCGTCATTTGGAAATTAAAATGGTCCATTTCGTTGCTTTCCTGTGTAAATTTCTATATTTGCAACATAAAAGTGTATTTTGATGCCGTATTTTTCGGGCTTATTGCCTAGGTATTGTCTAAATTTACACCTATCACGAAATCCATCAAGTATTTCATCAATAGTTGTATATTCTCCAATTGTGTAGCATTCTTTACATTTTTGCACAACGCCTTGTAATAGCTCTCGAATCGGAGCTAAATTATCCTCTTGTAACCTTTCTTGTCTAGCGCATTTTCTACAAAGTAGCAAAAAGAAGCAGGTGCAATTCCATCAGTATACCATAGTTCTTCGGTATTCAAATGCTGAGCCTTTTTCACACCGCCGAGATACAGTAATCCTATGAAGGCACTGATTTCTATAAAATCTATAGGTGGACAATTATGGTATTTTTGCTAGGACCGTTGCATTTTCTCAAACTTTTGGTTTGTGCAGTTGATAACGTGGGAAATGGTTTCATCCGAAAAAAAGAGTTTCCAACACTCTAGAATAGTTTTGCAGTTTTTGGCAACCTTTTTTTACAAAAGGCAATTTTGTAATGATATTTTGACAAGTTTTGCCTTTGGACAGTGAAATTCTATGTCGTAACCATACAGTTTGTTGGTCTTTTCCTAGAACTGTCGGTAAATTAATCCAGTCGTTTATGCACCTTGTACTTACATCAGATGACGGAGAAATTTGAACTTGAACTCCACTTATTTCTTCAGTTTCAGGTTGAACTTCAACTTCACTTATTTTCTCAGTTTTCCTTTATTCACTGCCCTCTGAATCTGATATCTGGCTCAATATCAATATGTTCGTACCATCGTAATAATTGCTGTTCGGTTTTTGAATGCATGTTCGATAAAATAAAAAACTATAATATTTTATGTTTATACAATATAAACGCGCTCAATGTTGTGTATATACAATAACAACGCTGGCTCTTTTAATCCATCGCACACACTTAGACTGAAACAAGTACATGTGGTGAAGAAATCATTCATGAAATTGCTCTGTTGCCGATTTTCCTTAAAAAAAGAAGTCATGAAGAAAACTAAAAAATTCTTAGATTTTTTCTAACATGGTCAGTGATCGGGGATTAAATTTTAAATAGAAATACACCATACTAAAGTTATATATTGTTCCAGGAAATGTTTATCTCCAATACAAAATAGTGGCACATCTGGTAGTGGAAGCGCGGGGAACTTAAGTTCCGTTAGTAATCCAAATATGGAGAGCGCTACGACCAATACTAACACATCTAACGGAGACTCATATAGGCCTCCGTTACTAACCGAATCGCTATTAGTGAGGTAAGTTTTAGTATATTTAAAATTTAGAAAAATGCTTATAGTACATTGTACGAATTTGCCACTATTTTGGATTATGGATGAAAGCTTTGTATTTTTCTTTATTTATTATTTTTTGTTAATACTGTAAAAAAAGATTAAAAAAGGATTCTTTTAATTCAGTTTAGAAATTATCGTTTCATATTATCATTACTAGAGCAATTTACTTTTGTACTTTTTATGCTGTACAGTCGAGTGAACCATTGGCTGTCGACTGTCTAGCGATAATCCAGAATGATCGCAAATTTGTAAAACATACTATACATAGAGTTGAAGGAGCATAGTGCTGCTTTGTTTTGTTTTTATCTTTAACAACCTCTATTTCGTGTTAAAAATTAATCAATTAAAATTTATATACTGTAGGCACAACGAAGATATGGAAAAAATAATGCTGAAGAAGCATCGTGAATACAGATCAACGATCAAAGATAACAAGAAAAGTCATCTGAAAGCAGAAAAATGTATAATTGGTGATAGGGCAGGTTTTGATAAAAACGAGGTAAGTCAAAACTTATTTTTAAACAAAAATTAAATGCTGAACATTTTGGTACGATAATTTTTTATGACACGCTCTATATTCTGATATAAAAGCATGACACATAGCAAAGAAAAGAGATAAATAATATAGTTATATTTTTCTGTGTATTTAGCGATTAAGGAAGCAAACATGGTTTAAATAACTTTTTTACTCCAAAGACTCACTTAAAATTATAAATATCATAAATTCTGAGTATCTAAGAAGCCGCGTTCATGCCCACGGCCGGTCCCAAGCCGGGATAAAAAAAGGAGAGTTGATGGGACAGGTTAGTACCTTACCCATTGTAAAAGAAAACAAGGCTCAATGAACCGATATAAAGCCACGGAACCAGGCAGAACCTAAAATGACGAACCACGCAAAGAAAAGAAAAACGGAAGGAAAAATAAGTCCACAATTAGATTAGCAACATGAAACATTACTTCTTTCAACATCAAAGAACAAGAGATAATAGAAGAGCTGACAAATAAAAACATAGACATCCAAGATACCAAGAAGAAAGGTAAATGCCAAAAAGACTATTAGCAATATTTTCTAGCATAAAGTGGAGTGAAGAAAGAAGAACGAGCACGAGCAGGCATAGGTATAAATGTCCATAAAAAAATTTAAAGACAGTATAAATACCAGCCATTATATTTAAGAAAGAATAATACATATGAACATCATATTGGACTACTAAAAATTAAATGTCATATCTATCTATAGCCCCGAGGACTGCAAACCTAAGCAGGAACGAAAGGCATTCTACGAACAATTGCAAACCATCATGGATGAAATACCTAATGAAAAACTCTTAATTCTTATGGGTGACTTTAATGCATGATTCAGAAATGAAATAGTTCCAGGAGTAAAACAAAGATGGATTGAAAACTATCTCAACGCAAATGGAGAACTTATGGCTTTTAACGGCTCTGCTTTTAACGAACTAGACACAGGAGCTAGAGCTGAAACAAATAGACGCCATCGAAGATATAATTGCGAACTGGGAGAAAATTAAAAACAACATTGAAGAAGCAGCAACAGAAGCTCTACGAAAATGCAAAGTCACACTGAACAAAAGAAACAACAACAGTACATCATGGTTCAAAAAATAAATAAAGGAGAAATGTAAAGAGAAACGAGAGGCCTACACGAATTATAAAACATCAAATACTCCAGAATCCCGAGACAACTATAGAAGAATACGAAATGAAACAAAGCAGTTGGTAAGAAGAACAAAAAATGAACACTACGAACAGTTTACAAAAAGGATAAAAAGCGACTTCTATGGTACATAAAAACAAATACCTATGAAGAAACCAATGAAACGAAATGGCAAAATTGAAGGAATACAATAACATACCAGCAAAAGAATGGGAAAGATACCTGATGAAACTGTTTAAAAGACAGGAAAAAATAATAATCAACACAATAACGTACCTGAATTAAAACACGAAATAGAAATAAGTTTTCAGGAAGTAAAGATAGCCATAAATTCAGTTGAAAATCGAAAGACACCAGGACCAGGCAGAATAAACAATGAGCTTCTAAAACACGGAGGAGAAAGTATAACCCTAGAGATGACAAAACTTATACAAAAATTAATATTGCACTGCAAGATATCAGACGCATGGAGAAACAGTATAATGATACCAATGTTTAAGAAAGGAGATAAAAAGACCCCAACAATTATAGAGGTATTCATCTACTAAACACCACACTTAAGCTTACCACAAAGGTCCTAACCAACAAAATCAATAAATTAACAACTTTATCAGATGAAAAGCAAGGATTCGGATACGTAAGATCCTGCGTAGACTCCGTATTTTTACTAAGACAAATCACAGAATAGGCCATCGAGTACAATAAACCAGCATACTTATCTATGTTTTATAGACCCGACAAAGGCTTTCGATTGCATCCATGTAAAAAACGTCTTACACCTAATTTATCAAATCGAATACAGGCAAAGATAAAAGGAAAACTAACACAGTACCTATACCAGTACAAACTATAACTATTCTAGTACAAAGCGGAGTCAGACAGGATGACTCGTTAACCTCACTTCTCTTTAATATAATAATGGATGAAATAATAGAGTAAGGGTCATTGTTACAAAATGAGGAACAAAGAAATCCAAATATTATGTTATATAGACGACGCCGCATTAATCGCCGAGGTAGAAGACGAGCTTCACATATTAGCACACATCATTAATACAACAGTCAAGATATACAATATGACAATATCAGCAGAAAAAACCAAATGTATGAAAACATCTAAATACCCAGTACGATGTAATACAAGAAGAAAGAAGAAGATAAATTCTAATTACATTAATAATTATCGTCTACAATTCACACGAATATCTCTTACATAAGCACTTCGCTAATACTATTAATCTAATGCCGACTTGGCGGGCTTATGTAAACAAATCGACTGTTCTAGATGTATGCGGAGGAACAGAGACGAAATTTCGCACGATAACACGAAATTCCAGAAAGTTACCACAACTGGATCGTCGAGAGAAACTAGGCGTGGAATACTACGCCTAGTATAGAATATTTTTGGCTTCGCCAAAGCACAGTACCACAATTAGTGGCGTGTAACACAACTTTTTTTAATAATATTATTAAAATAATAAACTCAATAAAAATAAAATATACATTTGAAAGAGGAAGTCAATATAATTGTAATTTATGTACAAATTTGTTGTTCTAAGTCGTAGTTTTCCTAAGACTTAAAACATATTACTGCCATGAAAATCGTCCATAATCGATTGTTGTACCAGAAACATCAATTATTTGCACTGTCGAGTATCTTTAATTTAACTTTCGACCTGTTTTAGCTCTTTTTAGACGAATACGCCCATGGAATTAAACGCAGTGGCACTCATTCTCAAGATGGAGACAACCACAAAATATCCAAACATAAACACGTAAATCCAGAAATCATAAACCAAAAAGAAGAAACGGTTGCACCCGCAGTCAAAGCAATAAATGTTCAATCTCAAATACCGCTCTCCATGCACTGCACCGAGCAACCTGTTTACCAACCAACAGTAAGTGATGTTGTTAGTAAATACTATTCTACGGGTTCTACTGCAGTATATACAATTATTATAAAATATGTTAGTAGTTTTAACTCGTGCTATCCACAAAACCTTGTCATTTTCATTTAAGAACACCACAAAGTTGAGTTGTTGGTTTTTTGTAACTAACTAGCTGACCTGACAGACGTTGTCCCGTCTTAGCCACTAGAGTAAAACAATAAATATAATTTGACAAGTCCGTTGCAATACAATCTTCATCTTTAAATTTACATGCCTTCCAATGCGGACACCGTAGACGTATATATTAACATACATATAACATATATTATGTTAATATATCATCTATGGTGGACATATAACGTTAATTTGTCCACTAGCAACGATTTGTTGTGAACTGTAATTGATTGCCACGTTATAATGGAATGCTATTCAATGGGACTTAAACGCGATATTTCTATGTTGTTGATTTCGATTCCATCGATTCCGTTCAATTTTATTTCGGGCTTCTACGACCTAAGTGGCTACGTTTAATTGATGGCATTTTTAGGAATCAATATTCAACTGAAAATAAAAACTTAAGTTTCTTAGTGTAGTAGTATAATCACGAAGTTAAACAATATTTTCATCGTGCCAATAGTAAAACTCGAAATTGAAAACCCGCAAAATTTATCGTTAAGATTTTTTTAATTTTCTGCCCAATTTTTTATTTTTTTTTTTTTATAAGAACTTTCTACAAAGTATAAGAAAACGTAATAAATATACATAAAATATTACAAATACATTATTATATTACAAATATATTTTTGTTTTCTAGTTAAATGACGTCAACCTATGGCCTCCATTTTCTGTGACAGTAACCACGATGCACAACACCCACACTAGCACAACCAACTCAGGTTTAGGGAGTCCCAGCGGTCCAGGAAACTATGGGACCGGGATGTTTCCCTTATATTACATACCAACAACCCCTTCACGAACTATACCTGGACATTTCAGTGATCCAGTTCTGCACGGATCTCGCTATCAAGGTATGTTGTTCTTGCTGTTACAATTTTTTATTTTGATTTCTGTAAGAAATTTCTGCAAGAAAGCAGACACACATCAATGCGATGCCGTTTGAATAGCTACATAGCTCCACAAATTTAACACAAAGATGAAAAAGCAGAATATAAAAGTGGTATTGTTTCTGGATAACGCTACATCTCACTCAAAGATTGCACTGGATAAAGTTAAACTTTTTTTGTTTCACCCAATACTACATCACATTGCGAACCCTTGGACCAAGGCATTATCCAGAATTTTAAAATGATCTATAGAAGCTATTTTATTATGAGATTTTAACTTGTATAGATAGTGGTTGTCCTCTTCAAAAAGGAGAGAAACATTACCATAACCAACAACGCCTTAATATGAGTTACAGTGGTTTGGCGTATTTTGTCGCCGATGACAATAAAAAAATACTTTGCTAAAGCTATATTTATATGTAATATAGATGCGAATGCTTTTTAAGACAAGGATAATACTCCTCTTGCACAACTATTTCCCTCCATCAAAGACAAAGACAGATAGTGGAGAATTGACCATCGACGACTGTATCGAAGAATTACAAGAAATAAATAAAGCTATTTCTTACTCTAAACTAAAGGAAAAGGAAACTGAATTTTTTCTAGTGTTGAATATATCAAGCCTATATGAAGCCTGTAATCGTAATAGAAAAGTGCATCGAGTACAACATACCACTGGTTCTTGCATTTGTCGATTACGAGAAGGCTTTTGATTCTGTACAGTTTGAAACAGTACTGGAAACCCTAAAGCAAAGCCGAATAGATTACAGGTACACGACACTAATCAAAAATATCTACGAGAATGCTACATCAAGTATACGACTACACGAAGACACAGAAAAATTTAGCTTAGGTCGAGGAGTTAGACAAGGAGACAATATTTCACCAAAATTGTTGACGGTAGCTCTAGAGTCAATATTTAAGAGCACCCAATGGCAAGATATGGGCATCAATATAGATCGAGAAAGATTCAATCATCTAAGGTTTGCAGATAAAGTTGTATTAATCACAGATAACTTACAGGGTACAGTTTCTATGGTATATTCGCTTAAAAGTCTGTCTGAAAGAGCAGGATTAAAGATAAACTTTGAGAAAACTAAACTTATGACAAATCTCCTAATGAGTGGAAATATAACTATTGACAATAATACCATACAACAAACAGACACTTACAAATATCTGGGACACGAGGTTAAAATAAGCAGAAACAATTAAACAGATGAAATACAGAGGCAAATAGGCTTGACATGGGCAGTATTTGACAAATTAAGCCATATTCTGAAAAGTTCAATTCCCATGTGTCTCAAGCGAAAGGTTTATAACCAATGTGTTTTGCCTGTACAAACTTATGGAGAAGAGACTTTAAAACACTCAAAAATCTGCGATTAAACTCAGAGTTACACAACGAGTCATGGAACGTGCAATACTGAACATGAGCCTTCGAGACCACATAACAAACCAACAAATCTAGCAAAGATCAGGCGTTGAAAACGTCATCGATGCTTAAGTAGAACTAGGCAGGGCACTTCGCCAGAACACAAGATGGACGATGAAAAAGACGTATTATGGAATGGAGGCTTAGAAACTATAAAAGAAGCCGAGGTCGACCACCGACTAGATGGACCGATGATATAAAACGTGTAGCGGGAAACTGGCTACAAGCGGCTCAGTGTAGAGAACACTGGAAAGAACTGAGAGAGGCCTATGTTTAGCAGTGTACGTGATTGGCTGATTGATGATGATAATATGAAACCTATATGAGTCTCAGAGGTTTAGAAAACTTTTTTATCAATGAGAACAATTATGTCCACAAATAATATTTCTAAGCTTTTAATAAAACCTGAATCTGAATTTTTGTAAGATAAATTAAAAAGCATGAAGCAATCATTAATTTAAGCTTATTTAAAAAAATAAATAATTTTACTATACAGTGTATCCAAAAAAAGTATGCAACCTATTATTACATTAATGTCATTCTGTTCATTTATGTTTCTGATAAATTGAAATTACAATTAATTTAAATTATATTTGACATGTATAATAATAAACCACGTAAAATGTAGATCAAATGCTTTAATTTTCTTATGTTCTTAAATTACCAGTCCTCTTCAGCGAGTAGATTTTGTTTTACTGTATAATGCAAATAAATTTTTGACTTAATTAATTTGTAAAAATCTTCATTAACTTCGGCATTCGCTTATTAATTATACTAGGATATTTCCCACTATGTATTGTGATAAATGAATATCTACCAAAATTAATTTAATTTTGGGTGTCTCTTTTATATATGTTTATATTTCTAGTTCAATATATGCCAGCCAGTATGATCTACAACTACAACAACGCCCTCTATCCCACCTCTCCGTTCATTTGCCCAACCGTTCCGGTCGTTCCTCTTCCAATGGTTCCACCACAATTGAACCCAATCAATCCAGCTGCCGACGTACGGCCCATCAATCCATTACAGACGATCAACAGTGTGGGAGTTACTAGCCAGGGATGTGTGAATGTTGTGTCCGAGCACAAACCCAACACGCCGAACACTCCTCAAACGGCTCATACACCTCAAATGCCGCAGCAGTTTCAAAGACCAGCTTCTCAAGCTACTTCCATTAAAGCTGAACCTGGGAGTGTGATGGGCTCTATCGCTTCCGCTAGTCTTGCTAACAAAGTAAGTGGTTTTAATAATATAATTAGTTGTTATTAAAGATTCTTTGCAACGAAATTCTGTTCTCTAGGCTTGTGTTACGTCTCTTACGTGCGTTTTAAAGATGCATTTAGTTTCGGTAGGAAAAACTTTAGAAAAAATTTCCTTATTTAATCTAGTTTTGAGATTTACACTAATGAGTGAAGATAAATGATGGCAGCACAAAGGCATCGATTATTAATAATCTCGTATGACATTTTTATCGGAGAGATCCTTTCAGATTGTTCCGGCGCCAATTGTATCTTTAACCCACTTTCAGACCACTAGTGTCGATGGAAACTGGTGGCCCAGGGGTATCGAGAGCTTTAGGTGCCCTCCGAAGAACAGTGTTGGCTAATATCCTGTTTAGAAAGCCAGTATCTTAGCCAGTGTGACAGCCGAAGTACGGCTGTCACATTATTCAGGTAACAATATTACTTAATTAAATCGGAATAGTAAAAGTTCATACCCCTTAGAACCCATATGACGTGTCAAAAATACCCGTAGAGAAATATTTCTTTATTAAAATATGCGGAACATTCCCATGTCTTAATTTTTTTGCGTATAACTTCTTATTAAAAAAAACTCGCTAAATGTGAAACGATTTAATTTGAAATCGTAGGCTTCCACGGCCAGAGTCAGAATTATAGTTTATTCGTCTTCCGGGTTTGGACCGTGTCATTTGTGAGTGACCCAAAAGTGGGTTCATCTCGACGTTTCGCTACAATTGTATGTAGCTTCTTCAAGAGAACAAAGAAAAAGACAAAGAAGACAGGAAGATGGGTAGTTAGCAACGGTAACTCAGTTACTCAACGCGTTAGTATTCGTCTCTGGTTGCGTTGAGTAACTGAGTTACCGTTGCTAACTACCCATCTTCCTGTCTTCTTTTTCTTTTTCTTTGTTCTCCTGAAGAAGCTACATACAATTGTAGCGAAACGTCGAGATGAATCCACTTTTGGGTCACTCACAAATGACACGGTCCAAACCCGGAAGACGAATAAACTATAATTACGATTTAATTTTCCTACTACATTGGGTGTCACTTGTAACAATATAAATTGCTTATAGGGGGTTGAAAGGGGGAACTGAACATTTACTGGGCTGGAGACATTTGCGAAATGCTATTCTTGTTTTGGTTGGAGAGCTGGGTCTTGAAAAGGCTTTCTTTATTTGAGGAACTAACTACACCAAAAAAGAAATAAAAAAAAATACAGAGATTTCCTGGGTAACAAATACAAGAAGATCCTTAAACTATTGAAATTGGACGCTGTTTAAAAAAATCCTCTTGCTGGATAGAAATAAAGGCTTTTCTTTCCTTGGAATTGGATACAAATCAAACACACTGTCCCACACAAGCTGCAAATGATCTGAATGGACCCATGAAAACACAATATGGAAAAATCTTGGGGAGGTCAATCATTAAATTGGGCTTCAACTTACCCTGGATGATAACAATATGTATTTTTTTAAAAGCGGCTGCTGAATTCTTACTTAAAACCATGTGGTCTTCTTAAGTCCTTGGAAACGCTGTTTTTTTAAAATCCTTCTCATGGACTACAGCTTCCAACAAGACGGTGATTAACTAAATCACTAAACAAACACTGCCAAATAGCATTTTGAGATTAAATGCACCCTGCACCTCTTAATTCATGAAACTAAGCAAAAAAATTGCCGGTTTTGGCATGCCGAGAATCATTTCTGTTCGAACGCAATCTGCTTCTCCTCGATTTATTTGACCTCTTCTTCTCAGCCCCCGTCCAGTTTCTCGCTGTCGGCCAATCGGAACCCATTTTAATTACGCTTTTTATTCGATAATGTACCTCAAGCGTGCTGGGCTTTCAAAATTGTAGGAATTTATTTAATTAAAATGCAAGTATTATCTACGCAGTTAACATTTCCTTAGATGTCTCGCCCAAACAAATGGATAAACAAAACTTCTGGGTATTATTATACACCAGCCAGGGGCGTGTCAAATAAATTTTTATACATTAAATATTTGATAGTTATAACGACATTTTTCTGCTACAAATGTACTAGAGAAAAGTTTAGTAGTATAAATTACTCCAGTCGTCAGAAACGAAAATGCCACTGAACCTTTAAAAATCATAGGAACAAGCTGAATGCTGCTCAGAATGTCAATTTGGGACCCCAAAAACGATACAATAAAGTTTACCGCTCATACCCCCGAGGTCAACGAAACAAATCTGTTTAGAATGTCAGTTACGCCCGCGAAATCAATTTTAAATAAAAATTTTATCAACTCAACGATAAAAATTCGACATCTTTTCGAATTTTTACTATCTAGTTAATATATATATATTTTTTTTTTTTTGAAAGAGAGAACGATTGATTTTATACAAAAAGTGCCAATTAACATTTTTGTTCAAAAGTATCTCAGCTACATTTTTTAATTAAAACATTTTTTCTGCGACGTACAGATTCTTGTAAAATCGATTTTTTTATCAGGGGTTTTAGGGAAGCATGGGGGTAGAAGTGGTAAACTTTATTCCATATTTTTTGGGGGCAACAAAATAATATTCTTAGCAAAATTCAACTTATTCATATAATTTTTAGACCTCAAATCTCTGAAGATTTGACTAAATAGCAATTTTAATGTCTATAAGGCAGATTTTTGTTGCAATGATTACATTTTCATTTTACTAACGGTGAACAGTTTAGATAGAGTTATTTATTAAAAATGTTATTTTAGGCCTTGTCTGAATGCTCTAGAAAGGATTTATGGTTACAGTCACCACTAGTTAGCCCGCCAGATGGCGAGGTGGAGTTATTTGTACCAAACAAGGTTATTTTACTTGTTTTTATATGTTGTTTGTGTCTGTTTGTCACAAGTCAATGTTGTTTTGAGGGCAAATAAAAATTCTTCGTTGCAATCAGTGTTCAGTCACTAAAGACAATTGAACGTGTATAAATAGTTAACTTTAACTAACAAAGTCTTCAAAAACAAATATAACTAATAGGAAAATTTTATATTTGGTGAATTAAAAATACTATAAAGTTTTGATAGGTAGATCAAGTAGTTGATTTATCACAGTAAGCAACTATATAATACTGAAGTACACTTCATCTAATTTATATGCCGATGCACGTCATCGGCGTCATAGCCTGTGACGTCACATAATATTAACACAAAATATTTAGGGTGTAGGTGTGTTCCTTTTTAGAATCACTTTACCGAGTACACTGGCATTACAGCCACTAGAAATATTTTATTATATACGCGTAGAAATAATATTTAAAAATTTCTATTAATGTTAACTTAAAGAAATACACAATAATATGTTTCATTTAATTTGTATAAATGCATTATAAAGCGTTTTTATCGAGAACATTTGTTCGGAACACACTAACTGTATTTGAACGAAGGTAAAATTTTGGCATAAATTGGTAACACTTATTTGACAGTTCCGGTGTTGACACTTTTTGTACTTCATTATTTTGAATTTTAAAGTGAATATCTCTTGTTTTATATTTTTAACTATTTAATAAAATCTGTTCTTTTTAGAACAAAATTAGTGTGTTTTATTTCAAAAATGTCACGTAAGAATTTAAATATTTACGTTGTAAAGAGATGGTAATACTTTTGCAATAATTATGTAATCTATTTGATTTAAAATGGAGTCAGGATTGTTTTATACTTTGGCAACTATGTCAACTTCGATCTCTGACGTAGATAATGACGTAAGTCGTTATCTAAATTAGATGAAGTATAGGTACATTGTATTTGAAACTAATAAAGAAGAATTTTTATTTGTTAGGCCATTATTCACAACCACAATACTTGTTTTGTTTCGTGATCATTGTTTCTGTTTTGACATTGTCCAATTTTCATTTCTGTCTTCGTTTCGTCCTTCATGTTGATCACAGCATTAAAGTTTGCTATTTTTTAGCGGGTTTATGATTTTTGTAACGTACACAATATTATTTTTATTTCAGAAATGTTAAAAATACCATAATTGTATGATTACATAATAGTGCAGTCCGTGTAAGGCAAGCTGCACCAAATTTTATTATTCCTTCACGAGGGTCAATAGTAGTGTAAATTTAAAATCGCGACTAAATTAAGTACCTAGTTGCATCAGCGGTCATATTAATTTTAAAGCAGAAACGTTTTCTAAACTATCTCCACAATTTTCCACTTTTCGAAAGAAATGATAAAGACTGAAATTATTGCAAATGTGATTTCCTATAAATTCTTTTTTACAAATTTTTTCGTCAAAATTTTTCAGGTAAAGATAAGAAATAGTGGTAGAGGGAAGCTTGATTATCGAATTATCTCGTTTATTATTAACTTTGCGATATGAATGTATCCAATCAAAAATAAAGAGAATTATATTTTAAATAATTTTGATTTTTTTTATTTTTTTGCTAAAATCAATATTTAAAGTCGTAAGTTTGTTCCTGTTTATGGGTTGTTGCTGATGACGTCACCGTCTAGGATTCGTTAGGCGTAAGACCTTAAATATTGATTTCAGAAAAAAATTAAAGAGATCAAATTTGTTTACAACATAATTCTTTTCATTTTTATTTATATACATTCATGTCGTAAAGTTAATAATAAACGAAATAATTCGAAAATTATGGTTCCCTCCCTTTCACTATTTTCCCCCTTTACTCGAAAAATACCTTCCGCATGAAAAAATTTGTAAAAAGAAATTGTAGAAAATTGCATTTGCAACACTTTCAAACCTTACATTTTTGTGAAAAAGTTGAAAATGGCGGAGATATTGTGTAGAAAAGGTTCTCTTTTTTCATTTTAAAATTCAATATGGCGGCTAAAGTAACGATTGTAATGAACGATTATAACGAACCTGTGATGTATTTGTATTTCTAGTTGAGGTTCAGAAAACTTTTGATAAAATTCTGATCATTTTGATATAAAATGACCAGAACAAAATTCTAAAGAGATATCTATAAAAAAGAAGAGTATGACACGAATGTGTACTTAATTTATAACAGGTTCTTTATTTATAACAAATCCCGATGTGGATGAGAATTTCATGGTAATTAGCTCAATTTAGGGTAGCTGGTCAGTACTTGTTCACGAACTCGCTTGAAGACAGACTCAGTACAGGGTTTAGTAAACTATGTCCTATATAAGCTCTGGTTTTCCTCCTCTCAACGCCAGGAAGAAAATTAAGCCTCAACCCAAGCCCTATCCACCACTAAAACTAGGTCCTCCTATCCCATCCCAACACAGAATGGGATAGGCTAGGCATTCCAATTAAGATCTATAAAAGGTACATACTATAATTAGTACTTATAATTCACGAGAGACCTAAACTATAACCGTAGCTCAAACTTTTTATTTACTATCAGAAGGACTTTGATTAAGTAAAGTGGAATAAATTTTGATGCGTAATGACAAAGATGGGAGTACCTCAACTTCTCGTTCACGAATTATTGGAATGGCGAAATATGCATTGGAGAGAGAAATATATGGAAAAATATGTTACCTCCTAGTAAAGAAGAAGAAATTAGAAGACGAATTAACGTTTACTGTGAGTTAACGTATATATATATAGAGGAAGTGGTCCGAATATGAGCCCCCCATTTGTTTTTTTTGTATAAATTTTTGAAAGTTACGAATAAATATCCAGTAAATTACACACTACAAGCTTAAAGGTTTACCTTATGGTATATTAAAAAGGCATTATCAAAAAAATTAAATTTAGGTGGAATTTGTGTCAACACTTAAATTATGTACAGATCTACTTTTGGATTAGACTGCGTGGAATATGGGCCCCCTAGTAAAATAATTGATAGGTATCTAACAATTTGAAAAAACATATATTTTTCAAATAAAAAAAACTGAAAATGAAAATGAAAATACATTTCAACTTAAAAACCACATATTACACGCAAAAGTCACAAATATATGCATCTTTTTCGGCACCTGAACATTGTTCGTGAGCCCATTGATTGCACATGAAGCATTGAATCCATAACTCTCCTCTCTGGTCATCGGAAAAGCGACCATCACAAAATAGGCATACTGCATCACAGCCGTCAGGAACAGATTTGCCAATTTCGTCGATATCCATATCTTCATCGTCTGGGACAAACTCGTGACTTTCATCCTCAGAGTCGCTGACTTTATTGTCTTTTGCTTGCTGTCTTTTTTTGTTAGTTGTCTTCTTTGCTTTTGATTTTGAAAAGACTTGTCGTTTGGTGCTTGCTTTCTTAGGCGTGTTGGTGCAGGATTTCTCTAACTCATCCTTGTAGGGGGAAGAGGTGATCACTTGCGATTTAGTTGATTTTCTTCCCCGAGTGGTATTTTTCTTTGTGACGGAAGGTACAGGTGAAATGTCAAATGGTGAGACCAATTTAACGGAATTTTCCATTCCTGGAACAGATGGTCTAGAGAAATTGGAATTTGACGGCGAAGATGTTGCCTGTGATTGTAATTTAGCTGTATCTTCCCAAAAAGAACATCCTGGCTGAGGTTCTGGGGTACCATGCTGGGGTTCTGTTGTGACAGGCCGCGCTTGAGGCGAGGCTTGAGACAAAATGTTGCAGTTTTTCTCAGCCTGAATTCGTTCAGATATAAAATCTGCTTCAGAAAAAATGTGACGGTTGAACGGATATATTCCCGTCGCCCTAAAACCACTAGCAGCTATTTCGGCACACTGTGATTTTAAAAAGGCTTTACCTAAAAGTTCTGCCAAGTCAAACTGTGTGAGGGCTCGTTGGTTAACACGAAGCCAATTTCTAATTTCCTCACTGTAATAAGCCTTGAAACTTCCCATGAATGTTTTATCAAGGGGTTGTAATTTATGAGTTGAGTGAGGCGGCAAAGAGATAATGGAAATATGATTTTCACGAGCTAGTCGAATAACTTCTAAGTTTCGTGTGTGGCTATAATGGCCATCTAACACTAGCAGAACTGGACATTCTTTTGTTGGTTTAACAAAATTTATGAAATGCCTCATCCAATCGGAAAACAAATTCTGTTGCACCCACCCACTTGGATGTACTGCGTAGATTGAACCTGGAGGAGCCCCTCGCATCAGCTGTTCGTTGCGATTTTTTCTCGGGAAAATTAACATGGGCGGTACAAATTGACCTCCAGCGCTCATTGCAGCTATAAACGTAACTAGTGAACCCCGTTCGGCTGAGGTAATTGAAGCAATTTGCCGTTTTCCTTTTCTTCCCACCACTGATGCCACCTTACTTTGAACAACTGTAAGCCCAGTCTCATCTACATTGTAAATTTGGTGAGGCGAAAATTTATTTTTTGAGTATTCACTCTGCAAATTGTCAAAAAATTGCTCCACATTTTCCTTATTGAAGCCTAATGCTCTAGCGAAGGAAGTTCCTGTTGGTCTTCGAATAGAAAGTACATTTTTGTGACGTAGTAAAAATGCATCCAACCAGCTTCTCCCCGCCACACCATTTTTAAATGGATGAGCTATTCCATTACGAACAGCTAAGACATATGCCATTTTTCTAATGTCCTTTCTTGTGAGACCATAGTAAGTAGCTTCCATGGACAAAACATATTGGACAAGTTCTTCCTCCAGTTCTTTTCCTAATGTTGTCTTTCTTCCTAGTTGAGTTTTAACTACGTCACTAATATTTAAATTACCTTCCTTTTGTTTTTTTAACAGTCTTTGAAGTGTAGATCGTGGCACGCTGAACTGTTTGCTTGCAGTTTTAAGACCCATTATTTTGTTATTAACACTGTCCATAGCCTTAACCATATCTTCACGTCTCCATGTTTGTCTTAAGTTCTTTGAAAAAAACTTCGGTTTGCTTCGTGGCATAATGAACTGCAAAAAAAACACTTTATTAAGACTTGGTCCGAATATGAGCTCTGTCCCATAATAGGACCACGGTAGGGGCCCATATTAACAACATTCCACCTGATTATTTAAAAGCATTCAATTTCTTCTCAATTCATTATTAGGTTAGTTTTTATGATGGAATATCAAATACTGATCACTTTTCTAACATACTAACACATCAACTCTCCAGTTTCAAACATAAACGTTGATAAATAGCACAAAAACACTTACCGTAAAATATTTGTTGAACTACACAAATAAACTTATGTCACCTGTTAGTACAGAGATATACACGAGACTGCGTGCATAAACAGAAAAATGTTTGGGGGTCTAGTAGAAGTATTTTAGTACGAAATTCATAGATGTCGCGACGTGCTCTAGTTGAAATATATTGGGGGCCCATAATAAGTGCAGGGCTCATATTCGGACCACTTCCTCTATATATATATATATATATATAAATATATATATATATAATATATATATATATATATATATATATATATATATGTATATATATATATATGTATATATATATATATATATATATATATATATATATATATATATATATGAATACGTGCTTGGCAGAGAAAGGTGATGGATAGGGATGACTAAAGACAAATTATTGAGGAGGTCAAGAGTGTCAAGACCCTCACCGCGTTGTAAACCGCTAATATCTTAATTAAGAACGTCTACATATGAAAAAACTATAGTTTTCTTAATGATCATAAATTCTAAAACTTATTTTACGAAATTTGTATTTATTTAAACAATATATCACCATCGCATATTTGTAAGTTAACTTTAAACACTATTTGAATGTTTTAGGTACCTCGTCCACCTGAAATAAACGAACGACGTCCTTTTCAAAATAATATCAACAGTATTGACGAATCCAGCAGTTGCTATTCATCATCTTACTCCTCATTTTTGAAAACTGACGCTGGTTCAGGCTCCAATGACGATTCTAATGTTATGGATAACAAATCTAATAAATGTGATGAGGTAAATATTTTTATTGTGAGATATAGTTTTTTAAATCAAAACTGAGTACTAACAATATTTAAATGGAATTTTGTGATAGCATTAAATTTCTTCGCGGTGATTTCTGTCAATTAGATGTTAAATAAAATAAATCGAATAAAACGATATTGATTTCGTCGTTAAAGTTAATAGTGTCTATCAATTGTTACATATTTTTGTCAATACCTAGTGAAATTTCGGTAATTCGAAGATAGAGGCTGGACATCGAATTAACAAAAGGGAATAGATATATTTCATCCTTATCTCATTCTTCTTCTTCTTCTTAACGTGTCATATCCGCGACTAAAGTTGGGAATCATAATGCCTATTCTGATCTTAGATGCTACCGCTCTGAATAGTTCGATTGATGTGCATCCGTATCATTTCCTCAAGTTTCGCAACCATAAGATTTTTTTTCTTTCTACACTTCTCTTGCCCTGGATTTTCCCTTGTATAATTAATTGAAGTATGTTGTATATTTCTTATTTTAAAGTTTTACCGTTAATTGCCATGCTTTCATCATTATTTTGGGTTTTTGATATCCTCATAAATTTAGTTTTCTTGATGTTTATTGATAATCCATATATTTCTTCATACTCAACTATCTTGTTCATTAGCTTCTGGAGGTCTTGGAGATTGTCTGCTATTATGATAATATCGTCCGCATATATAATGTTGTTAATTGGTGTTCCATTGACCTTTATTCCTGCTGTTTCTCCCTCAAGAGTTCTTTTCATAACTTCTTCAGAGTGTGCATTGAATACTATTGGTGACAATACACACCCTTGTTGCACTCCTCTTTTCACTTCGAACTCTTATGATGTGTGTTCATTAATGCGTATGTGTGCCTGCTGTTTATAATATAGATTTGTTATTGTTTTGCTTTGATGACGTCCATTAGCTGTTTGGGGTGGACTTTATCGAAAGCCGTGTTGTAATCTATGAAACAGACGTACATATCTTGGATCTTGGTTCACATCCAAACATTTCCGGATTATAATCATTATTATAGTATATTTTTATAGTACGTTGAATGCAAAGAGAGCTTCACGGGTACCTATGCCTCTACGAAATCCAAATTGGGTTTCTTCAATATCAAGTATTTGGTAAATACGTTTATGAATGATCTTTAAAAACATTTTAAGTGTGTGAGACATCGAGCTTATGGTGCGGTGGTCGGTGCATTCTCTAGCATTTTCTTTTTTTTTTTTGAGACAAATACATGTTCAGGTCAACCATTCATTGGGTATGTCACCCGACGAATAAATTTCATTAACGATCTTTAAGAGGACATCCATGTACTCATTTTCTGTTATTTTAAGTTTCTGGTGTTCTTTAATGCATACAATATGATGAGCTTATCTTCTGGTGAATCCTAACTTTTAGACAGTGACTTCCCCACCAGTTATGGTGGGGAAGCTTCCGCTCATCGAGCGTTTGCACTATCTAATTTTTTTAGTCTGTTCAATTTAACCTTTACTTTTCCTCTAAGAGAAATCAACTCCTATTCTTTATTCCAAATAAGTTTTGTCCAACAAATGAAGCACTACAAATACAGACAATTTTTTTTGAGCATTACTCTTGCCAATAGAGAAATCTGTAAACATTTTGTTAATAGCTTCACACACTTCAATTAAAAACTTATATAATTTTACTGCTATTGCTTAAAGGTCAGCACATGTTTTATAAATAACCTTTAGGATAAAGGTAGTAACAATGACAGTTAAAACTTGTGTTATTGTTTCTAAATATACACAAACTAATTTAGGATGTACAGTTGATGTAGTTGTATGTTTACATGGTAACTTTAAGAGTTAAGGTGTTGTCCAAAATAGCTTCTTCTGTCTTTATATATTGGTTACCATTTTTTTATTATTTGTTCTATTTTGAATTATTAAAAAAAATGGAATATTCTTTTTCGTGAAATTAAAAATTATTTTTGTTTCAGAATACGTGGAAAGGTAAAAAACTGCCCTATACGGAAAAAAGAACCACCATGGTTGGAATCAGTCGATGTATCTCCCGATTTAATATACAGGTATCAAATGGCCGTGAAAAACCTAGAAGAGATTCTTGAAGCTGATCTGAATTGTCTTAAAGAATTATCACAGGTAAACCACAAGACTGTTTATTGACATTTTACTCGATTTTGAAAGTAATATTAATATTGGACTGAAAATGTTTCCTTTGGGAGTTTCAGTTCAAAATTAACTGTAAATGAGAAAATTGACTCTTTATCTGACGTTTTGACTTCTAGATTGGAAGCTATTGCCATAAAAATACAATATTTTAATTAAAAAATATATTATTTTATTTAAAATTTTAATTTAATTTTTTATTTTTAACCTTCATCGGACGGGCCTGAAAATATTACACAAAAGACGGGCCGGGGGCTGAACGGACGGGCCCCATTCTTAAATAGGTGAACTATGCTTATACGAGAAAAAAAACTGTACCATTAACACATTATTTTTATAGTATTGAACATTTACAAATATCTGGGACACGAAATCAAAATAAGCAGAGACAATCAAACACATGAAATACAGAGGCGAATAGGTCTAACATGGGCAGCATTTGGCAAATTAAGCCATATTCTAAAAAGTTCAATTCCCATGTGTCTCAAGCGAAAGGTTTATAACCAATGTGTTTTACCTGTACAAACTTATGGAGCAGAGACTTTAACACTCACGCAAAAATCTGCGAATAAACTTAGAGTTACACAACGAGCCATGGAACGTGCAATGCTGAACGTGAGCCTTCGAGACCACATAACAAACCAACAAATCAGACGAAGATCAGGAGTTCAAGACGTCATCGAAAGAACCACGACGCTTAAGTGGAACTGGGCAGGGCACTTAGCCAGAACACAAGATGGACGGTGGACAAGACGTATTATGGAATGGAGGCCCAGAAATTATAAAAGAAGCCGAGGACGACCACCGACTAGATGGACCGATGACATTAAACGTGTAGCGGGAAACTGGCTACAAGCGGCCCAGTGTAGAGAACACTGGAAAGAATTGAGGGAGGCCTATGTCCAGCAGTGGACGCGATTGGCTGATTGATGATGATTGAACATTTATTAGACTAAAGCATACACATTACTACAAAATACATTCTACTGCTGATGCTAACAGACTAAATAAGAACTACATACTATTTGTAGAATGTACACAAACTATATCTGATTTGGCGTGTTCTATAAATACAAAATTGTTACATTTTACACATATTTTACTAGTTTTTCTACACAAATGGCTCCGCCTTCTTGTATTTTTTGTTTGTTCTACTCTGGGCTCAGTAATATTCAAAAGTTCTGGGAATACATCTGCTATATGACGCCTTTTTATTCTTTTCGATGTGCTTATTGTTATAACATCTGAAAACATACTCCTTTATAAGTTCCTTGCCCAGTGCCAAAATATACATTTTACGCTTACTCATATTTTGCTTTTTTTAATCAGGATATTTTAGTAGCCACAATGTATAGGAATTAATACCTGCGACATCAATAAGATAAGAGAATATATCCATCTACCACTGGTGTGTTTTTCTTTGAAATTAATTTTTTAGCTTACTTATCGGTTGTATAGACGTTTCGTTTTGTTGTAATGTAGAATAATTTCAGGTTTATAGTAGTGTTCTTCACCAGCCACTTTGTCGTCAACATGCTCACTTGAAAGTAAGATGACTGCAGTTCTTGTTTTGGAACATAGGAGACTAACGTTCGATGTTTTCTAAAGGCAAACATACGTAAATAATCTGTTTTATATGATGCTGGTAGAAGCTCCCTTGAAATAAACATTTTATTTTTTCAAAGAGTTCCAAATAGAGTTATATTCTTCTGCCTTAACTTATCCGCAAGTTTAAACTCGTAAAAAATTGTCAGCTGTTATTCCAAACCTTCCTTCCAAATTGTCTTTCAAGTCTAGGACACCTCTTTGGCCTTGAGCTTTTTCCGCCTTAGGACCTTGTTATCCCAAAAATTAATAGATTTAAAAAGTTGCTTGTTTTCTTATCGGCAATTCAAAAACTCACCCAAATAAATTTGCATGTTTACAATAAAAGAAGTAGTGCAGTCTCCAAGGGCTTATATCTTTAATCCATACTTGTCAGGTTTGCTCTTCATGTAAACTCAGAATGATGCTTTACCTCTAAAAGGCTCAGTTGCTCATCTACACACATATGGTCGCGTGGTTTAAGTGATTTCTTACAATTAGAAATAGAAATATCACATACATCTCTTATTGGGCCAGTTTATTTACTGATTTTCGTTCTTGTCTGGTTTCAAAATTGTCAAAACGTATAAATAAAGTTATTTGTTTAAACCTATCTCTAGACATAGCAGCTGGTATTATAGGACAGCAAGTAAGCAATATCGTCACACCAAAGCATATCGATCGCCTTTTTCGATCCATAAAAAGCTCCAAGTATCAGCAATGCACCAATATAGGCTTCAATCTTTACAGAATCAACGCAAACATACACGTTAGTTTTATTTGGGTTTTCACTATTCCATTTATCGGAATGTTGTAAGTCCTAGAGCATGTCTACGAATATTAGCCTTTGCGCGTTTACTTTTGTTTTTTGGCAACCTTGATCACTCAGTTCCATCTTTAGATACATATACCTGTAAGCCTTAGGAGTCAGTAACTGTTGGTTCATTTTACTCTATGCTTTGATCAATAATAAGGTATTTTTTTTTCTATTATCTGTTACATGTTATCTGTTTATCTGTTTATCACTTGCTGTATCCTCATTGATATCAAGCTCTGGATCATCACTGTTAAGTAAACGTAAAAGTTCATCTTCACTCAGTTGCTTTCGGCTAAATATAAATGAATCGTAACTCATTTACAGAATTTTATGCACTATTCGCAAAAACGACAAGAAACCAACTGACAGTGGAACTCAATATATTTATATTATTTCGTTAAATTTTATCGCAGGAATTCCCCATTTAAACATGTAAAACCCTTACATAAAATGATAGTACACTCATAGTCGGTACTAATTCGTAAAATCTATGGGATTTCCACATTATTACAACTTTATTAGAATTTATTTTATATGACATAAAAGGCTGACTGGGGTTTTAGGAGACCCCAGCCTATAAATTTGAAGTTTAAATTTAATCTAACCGTTAAATGTTCTTGTAGGTACAAGAACATTTAACGGTTGTAGGTACAAGGTTCTTGTAGGTAATTTTTATTATCAATACAATAATATAAACTACAGATAGATAGATCTATAAAGTAACGGTCAAAAATTGTGATCTGGGGTCAAAATAGACCCCGGTCAGTCCGATGAAAATTAGAAATATTAAACGATACTAATTTTATTATCAATATCTAGGGAATCCCTGTGTAAATTGTAATGAGAGTATTTACTGTGGAATTTTGATTTAATTGATTGGCGCGGTCGGCGGTCGATTAATCGATCACCACACGATCGGATCGTTATGAAATAACGGGATTCGGTAGTTCAATACCTTGTGATTGAATCAAAGCAAACTAATCAATCGCGATTCATACAACACTAATTCACATGCAGCTGAGCGAATGGTTTATATCATTGATGTTTATTTATTTGCAGTAAACTCTTTAAAAATATGTACATTAAGATAACTATTTCATATTATAAATGCTAGTGTATAAAAAATTACTAAATTTATATTTTTGTTGTTTTTAGCCCGTTTTAGTCAATGACCAATTGAATCAACTATATATTGACATGGAATTAGAAGGACTGTCAAAAAAATTAACGTTAGAAGAAGGCATTACTTCAAGCAGTAGCAGTGATGAGAATTCTATGAATATAACAAAGGTAACCATTGCGCAAGAATTCATATAAAGTACGATTTCTCAACTAATTAATACAAAAATAATAACCAACACATTTGTTTTTAATCGGACATTTAATTTGACTGGATTATTAAAATACAACGTGTAACATAACAACAAAAATAACCCCACAAAAAATTTGTTTTAATTATAATAATTTTAATAATAATTGAATTATCATTTTTTTGTTGTAGCCAAAGAAAAAGAGGAAATCGTACAGTTCCCTAGTAATGATTTACGAAGAAAATGCTCCCATACCCTCACCAATAGACCAATTCAACTAAGTTAACTCCATTCCCATAAATATATTTTTATAACAGTTTGTAAATTTAAGAAGACTATTTATTTAAAAAAATCTGTGTCAGATTTTTCTATAGCAACTATTTTTTACTCATTTCAAAGACGACTGTTATATCTTTAGGTGTATTTAATGTTGTAACTTCCGATGTTTTTTAATTTTTTATTCTACAGTATTTATATTAATTATAGTAAATAGATTTTGAAATATTTATATAAAATAGGCGTTTATATTTTTCATGAATGCAATTATTCAACAGAATTTGAATAAATATTTAGGAATTTTGTTTTGTTTTTTAATACTTTCGTTAATCTTCACTTCCACATATCCCAATAACATTAATCTTACTTCTAAAATAAAGTATGTATGTAAGAATACAAGGAAATCATGTTAAAAAACTATATATTAAAAAATATATAAACTATCGCAACTTGCATTAAATCTTTGAATTGTGGCTGTATTCAAACAAACTAGTAGATATTATTATAAAAATAGAGAAGAAATCAAGTCATGTCAAGATCACAGAACAGGAAACAATGGCAATTTGTTCTGTGTCAAGAACATATGATACATTTTATAACCTCAATTACAGCCAAATCAAATAAATATCAAAATGAACTTAGAAAATAAAATAATAGATTATAAAAATACATGCAGGATTTGCCTTAAGGCTTCAGAAAATATGAAAAATTTATTTACACTAATAATCCCTAAAGACAACACAGCAGCTGTTGAATTCATAAGAAAAATGACTGATTTAAAAGCAAGTATTTTGGTTTTTTACAGCCAATAACTTTAATGTATCTTAATTTGATGTAAAACAAATTTATTCTTGTAGTTGCTATACTCAGATACCCTGCCGTCAAATATTTGTAGTGAATGCACACAAGGAGTTTTAACAGCATTCGATTTCGTGGAAATATGTATAGCCTCAGATGCAAGGTTGAGAACACAGGAAACCAGAAGGATGTTGCGAAAAATAGAAGCTGAAGCTCTGGAACTGGAAGATGACGAAGCATTGAAATGTGAAACACCATCAGAAATAGAACATTGTTCAGAGCAAGACGAACTGGTTGAAACTGGTAAATCAGAAGAACAGAGTCAGATTATTCAAGAAAAAGAAAATCCTTTACCTCTGGAATTACAATTCACAATCACTAGAATAAAAAATAAATACAAATGCGATTTGTGCAAACATAAATTCAATAATAAAACAGTATTTAATAAACATAAACGAACTCACGAGAAAAACGCTTTTAAGTGTACAAAATGCTCAGCCAGTTTTAACAAAAAAACGAATTTGAAGGCACATTTGACAATACATTTAGAAAATAAAGATAAAAAGTTTAAATGCAAAGAATGTGGCAAGTTTTTTGTATTTGAGCACCTATTGAAACAACATGAGTTTAGACATAGTGATGTTAAGCCTTTTCCCTGTACCAATTGTGATAAAGGTAGTTATTTTATTAATTAGTATCCATAGGTAGTAGGACCTTTTTATATGGTAGAATTAATGAAATCTTGAGAATAAGATCATCTTTTGGAGCTTTAGCTACAGTCATTGATTTTCAATTTTCTCTTCTGCTATAGGTATTTGAGTATATTTTTATTGTATTCACATAATTAGGCAAAAATCTTCAAGGTGGTGTATCTTAAAAGTTGTAAAATCAATTTCGTGGAAATATGGCGAAACCATATATGTCAATTTTTTATAGTTTTCAGGAGAGCACTTTTAAGGTTTCAAACTTAATATTAATTCGGTGATAAAAGGTATTGTTATGTTTTTTGTGCAATAGTATAATAGTATATTACATAACGAGAGTTGTAAGAAGCTTATTACATGCGAGTAAAAACGTTGAGCGCGAGCCATGTAGCGGCAAGCTCAGTAATTTTACAAGCATGTAATAAGCTTACAACTCAAATTGTGTACTATACTTTTTCTACGATTATTTTCGTTTATAAAAAGAAAAATTAAATTACCACTATATTTACACTGACAGATTAATAATTTTTAATCTGTCAAAATAAAGTCTGTTAATTCGTTTCCATGGTAACTCGACCAACTGACTTACGAGGCTTATGTGATATTACACATTTTTATAAAACGGAAGCGTAATTTTTTTTTCCGCAAATCGCCAGGAAATTTTGACATTCCTGTCAAAATTTCTTGAAGAAAAAGTCAGGACTTCCTTACTGTAAGGAAATGTCATTTCCTTACTGTAAGGAAATGATATTTCCGTACAGTTGTTAGTGTTCTACATAAATTAAATTTATAAGCGTCAAGTTTGACAATTCAACCTCAATACGTTTCCATAGTAACCCAAGTAATTTTATTAGGAATTTCAAAGTACCATTTTACCGGAGAAAAGAACAGGGACTAGTCCACGATTTAGGAAAACTTGGTGGAATGACAATTGTAAAAAGGTTATTCAAGCACAACAACTTGCTTTACGCAAGTTTAAGTTACAGTCCAATATACAAAATTATATAAATTATAATAAGTGTGTAGCAGAAACGAAAAAAGTTATATTAAAAAGTAAGCGTAATGCATGGAAAATTTTTTGTGAAAATTTAAACAAAAATACACCAATAAAAAATATGTGGAATCAAGTCAAACGTTTACAAAACATCTTTAAACCACAAATAAATCCAGTGACCGAAGGAGAATGGGTTGAGGAATTTTTGAGAAAATTATGTCCAGACAATATATTTTTAAAAATTAATGGAATGGAAAGTAAAAACTCTAATCATCCACTTTCAGTGCCATTTAGTTTATACGAATTAGAAATAAGTCTTAAGAACAAGAAAAACACGTCTCCGGGAATAGATAATATACATTATATTATGTTGGCAAATTTACATCAAAAAGGAAAAGAAACACTATTAAAAATTTTTAATCAAATATGGCAATCAGAAGATATTCCAGGTAGTTGGAGAGAGTACCGGGTGATTCCCATACTTAAAGCAAATCGAAATTCTGATTCGGCAGAATCTTATAGAGGTATTTCATTAAGCTCCTGCATAACAAAAACACTGGAAAGAATGATAAAACTTAGGCTCGAAAGATGGTTGGAAAAAAATAATAAACTATCACAAACACAATTTGGATTTCGTAAAAATCATTCTACTGTGGAAGCAGTGAGCCACTTGGTAACAGATATAAATTTAGCGTTTACGTCAAATTCTTCAGTAACAGCTCTTTTATTAGATGTGGAATCAGCATACGACAACGTTAATTTAATTATACTGTACAACAAAATGACACAAATAGGTCTTCCCGAATGTTTCTGTCAAAAAATAATAAAACTATATGACTGTCGAAAAATTTATATATCGGTAAATTGTAACACAATTCGTCCAAGGCTAGCGATGGATGGTTTACCTCAAGGAGGAATATTAAGCCCATTGTTATATTTAATTTACACTGCTGATCTAGCAAAAAATTTAAACTCCACAAGAATTTTACAATTTGCAGATGATATAGTCATTTATCAAGAACACATTAAAATAGAAAATGCAGTCAAATCCATTGAAGAAGGAGTCAATCATATTAAAACATGGAGTGATTTACATGGACTAAATATCTCTGATTCGAAAACTAAATTATGTATTTTTTCAAGAAAACGAAAAGAGATACCCAACTACATCTTAATAAACAATGTCTCCTATCCAGTGCAAAAATATGTTAAATATTTGGGCATTATTCTTGATAGACAGCTTCTCTGGAAAGAACATATAGACAATATAGTTAAAAAAACAGAAAAGGGAATAAATCTTCTTCGATTCGTGTCACACTTACGATGGGGAGCAGATCCAAATATTTCTTTGTTATTATTTAAAAATAATATAAGAGCTATAATCGACTATGGATCAATATTATACAGTGACGCATCACAGTGTCATTTAAACAAAATAGACAAAATCGTTAATAAATGCCTTAGATTGTGTATAGGAGCCCTAAGAAGTACACCCATTAGTAACCTACAAGTCGAATGCTGTGAAATGCCAATGGATATAAGACGAAAAAAACTTGGCATCAGACTTTTAGTAAGATTGTACGAGAAAAAGTCAAGTTTAATATTCAAAATACACCACTTGTTCTTAGCAGACTTAACAGAAAAATATTGGATAAAAAAGAAAACTCTAAATATAGTAGATTTATATTCAAAAATGATAATATATGATAAACAACTATATAAATATGACATAAACCCAAATTACAATATTGACTTTAATACTCTAGAACAAGTTCAGGTATACTTCTTAAGGGACTACAGCAATTTACCTTTATCTTTAAGAAAATTAATGTTTATATCTGACAGTTCACAATTGTTCAAAGATTATTATATACAGATGCATCCAAAAGTATCGAAGGTGTGGGATGTGCATACTGGGATGACAATAATAAAAAAAGTAAAATGTTTAAACTCAATTCCATCATGAGTATATACACAGCTGAATTAATAGCGATAGTGGAAGCACTAAAATATTTACCTAATATAGATCATTCAAAGTTTATAATTTATAGTGACAGCAAAAGTGCTGTAAGTAAAATTAGTGCTATAAATCCTAAATCAAAAGTAAATTACGTTGAATTATATATAATAAATAAAATTATAGAACTTCAGCAACAAGGCAAAACTGTTAAGTTGGCATGGATTAAAAGCCATTGTGGAATCACGGGAAATGAGATAGTAGATGAATTGGCAAAAAATGCTGTGACACAAGGAGTATTAACTGATTATCTTTGTACGTCTAGAGATATAGAATCAGACACGTTCAAAGAGCTTAAGAAGGAATGGAAAGAAAGGTATATTAATGAAAATATAAATACAGGAAAGCATTACAGAGCAATCAGAAACCATATTACGGATAAATCTTGGTTTGCTAGAATGGAGTCGACAAAGGATATGACAAGAACTATATGCAGAATGAGATTTAACCACTGTCTTACACCATCATATATGTTTAAAATGAATCTAGCTGATAGTCCACAATGTACTTGTGGTCAGATGGGTAACCTACAACATAAAATTTTAGACTGTTCTCTTATTTCCAATAAGGTTAATAATTTTTTAAATTCGCTATATTCTTTGACCGATGTCCACTATCCCATTAATTTAAGTTATTTATTAACATTAGAAAACAATGAATTTTTATATAGATTATTGTATAAACATGTAGATATTAAACTCAAATTGTAATTGTAAATATAGAGTAAGTATTTCTTTGTAATTTGTTAGAAAAAAAAAAGAAAAAAAAAAGAAAAAAATAAATTTAAAAAAATAATAAAAAAAAAAATAAAAAAAAATAAAAAAAAAATTAAAGAAACAAATAAAAAAAAATAAAAAAAATTGAAGAAACAAATAAAAAAAAAATTAAAAAAAAATAAAAAAAACTAAGAAACAAATAAAAAAAAAATAAAAAAAATACAAATAAAAAAAAAGGAAAAATTGAGGAACTTGGACAGTCCACAGTAAAGTAGCTATTGAATTAAGTAGATAGCTGCAGAAAAGTTTACTGTGGAACTCTAAGGACCTCATCACTTATTATACTTATTATACTTATATATAAATAACTAAAAAACAATTACAAGAAAAAACGACTATATATTAGGGATCAATACTAGTAATAGTAGGATTAGTATTAGTAGGAATTTAGTATAAGATAGTATATGAAACAATGACTAATGAAAAAATGAGTACAAATTGTAAGATTGGCGAATGGATTTAGTGTCCGCAGTCATTTAAACACAAACAAACAACAACAAAGCACCATTTATTTGGGAATAAAATTATCGCGTTTTTTTTAAATCAATCAATATCTGTCGAATTTTAAACGATTTGCGGAAAAATAGTATGTTTACCTCGTAGGAAAAGCCACATTCCTGGACTCTGTGTTGCTAAGTCTCGGCTTGCGCCTCGACTTGGCAATCTTCACAGTCGTCCAGGAATGTTAAGCTTTTCCTACCCGGTAAACAATGTACTATTATTACGTGCTAGTCATTACGTGTCAGTATCTGTTATGATGCATTTACTTAGCATCCAAATAGTAGGTAATATACAATTTACTAGTAAGGGAGTAGAAAAAGAACTGAATGTACTTCTAGATTGTGAAACATGAAGGCAGATTATTTGCTAGTTTTTTTAATATCTTAGATATTTTAGATATATGTGGTTTTGACATCTTATAAATTAATTGTTTTATGTACCTATATATTGTTTTGAAAGGGAAATGAAAAACAAGACATTTGTATTTTATGTTAATCTTGAAATGTTACAAATTGTATTTGTATAACCAATTACTCTTCTGAATCTGTATCCAAGGCATCATCACACAATTCGTGTTATCATTTTGTGTTGGATGTGGTTGGCAAATTTTCATAAAAGGCATGACAGTCTTTGTTTATCAGGTCTAACATCGATAAAAGGTCCTTCTTTTTCTTTGGATAAATACCTAAGGGGTTATTGTATGAGCGAAGGAGAGTTATAGAAGCCAGTAATTGCTAACCTCTTCTTAAAATAAACGATAATAAACGCTTATAGTAGACTGATAATTGATAAATAGGGAGCTGGTAGGACTTAATGTAAATAAAAAACCAGTCCTCTTTTGAATACATCACTTTGAATACTATTGAATACATCACGAAAAACATAACTAGCAGATTTCTTTAAACCTTTTTTAGTCCCCTTAGAAGAATATCTTCTTGATATTCTTTATGCATTTGAAGGATGGTTAGGTGGCTCGGTAGAAATATTTGATTAGGATTATCTCGCCTTGCCTAATAACTTTCATGTCTTGCTTGGATATTGATCTATAAATTTCTGAATTTTACTGGGTTCTTCGACCAACTTATTAGAGGGTACATGCTGTCCTCTCATATCTGTTTTTTTTAATCCATCCTCTGACAATTTTAGTTTTTTAACGAGCAGATTTAGCTGGTTTACTGTTACTCCATGCAGATTAATAAAAAAATTTTTGCATGCAGTTACAATTTTCTGAGGTTCTATATGCACTGAGTGACCCAATTATATGGCTTTTCCCTTGCATACCTCTGCCTTTCATTATTTGTTATTTGCATTTAGAAAGGGTCACTCTTTCACATAATACTTGGTTATGCATATCTGGAGCTTTGTTATTAAAACTAGACCAAATTATAGTTTGTTGTTCAGGGGTGCAATTTTAATGACAATGTTTTGTACAACATTTTGTGATTGCTCTAAATACTACGACTATGCGACAACAACTGAAAACAATTTGATAGATGGCAAAATCAAATAAATTAACACATTGCTTTGAAACTCATCGCTCATTCCACGTATAAAGAGGAGGGAAAAACGAAATATGTTTGCATATTATGCATTATTTTTAGTTTTGCTAACTTTCAATTAAACACATATCAAAGTACCTCAACATATATCCTCAAGTACCTTACTCTAAAGGTCTTATATGGAGACAAGAATATGTAGAAGATATTATATGGTATTGCCATCTTAAGATGTCACTGTTTTGAATTTTTTTGCTTTTGACACCTTTAATAACACAATACCTAAACATCTGCAGCATACCTTATTTTACCATCTCCTAGATTTCATCACTACGAATATGTGGGTATAAAAATCTCAAAATGTAAAAATGTTGACATATATGCTTTTGCTATTTTTTCACAAAATTTATTAGTGTAAAAACTGCAAAATCATTAATTATCTCTAAAGATTTTAAAAATCAAGATACACCTTTGATATCATTTCCAAAGTCTTGTGGTACTTAACAAACTTCCAAAAGCTCAGATTGATCCACCATTTAGTTTAAAAGTGATTCAGTTTGTTTATCCCAGATATATATTTTGCAATAATATTAGTCAAAAAGTAATGAAGCTATACACATTGAAAAACTTTTCTACATCTCCTGATCCTGTCTATGGAATTTGGTTATTTTTTTAAAGTTGTATACACTTTTTACATATATTATAAATGCAGAGTGAGTTTTAAGTATGGAAGATGAATAAGTCATATAAGGTATGAAAGAAGTATGTGATTCTTTGGCATTGGAGAGATTAAACACCCTTCAAAGTAAAGTGACATTTGGTGTACCTTGCAATTTAAAAATATAACAAATCACCCACATGTATTGTATAATTTAATGTTTTGGTATCTTATGATTAGATTAGAGTATGATTTGTGTACATTTTATTCTCTTTACAGGATGCTTAACAGCCGAAAGCCTAAGGAGGCATATGCGCACACATGACAAAAACTATACAAAGAAAGTTCACACATGCCACTTGTGTAACAAATCGTTTGCATATCCCAGTTTTTTAGTAGAACACATGAAAAATCATACTGGGGAGAAACCACACATATGCAACGTATGTGGTAAAGGTTTCCGGCAAAGTGGAGCTCTTCACTTTCATGAAAGGATTCACACGGGATATAAGCCTTTTCCTTGTCGTGTGTGTAAAGAAAATTTTATGTCACGAAGTAAGTATATCCACTCACAACCATGAACTATTTACGTGTTTAATTAATAATGGTTGAATCTTGTAGGCATTTTAAAAGTTCATATGAGAAAACACACAAACGAGCGCCCATATGTGTGTGATGTTTGCGGGATCTCTTTTAGACAATCTTCAGACCTTAAAACACACAGAAAAATACACACAGGAGAAAAACTGGTTTTGTGTACTGTATGTGGCAAGAAACTTTCAACAACAGGTAATTTATTTGTAAGATTACGTAGAGCTGTCCTTGTGCCAAGAAAATTGGTAGATACTCATGTCAAACAATGTATTTTCGTTTTAGGTCAACTTACAATCCACCTCCGCAGCCACACGGGAGAAAAACCATTTACCTGTTCAACCTGCAACAAATCATTTGCTTCCAGAACTATGCTAGCCACTCACGAGAGAATTCATACAGGCGAAAGACCTTATTCCTGCAATGTTTGCAATAAGAGCTTCTCTCAAAATTGCACGCTACTTGTCCACTCCAAGATTCACAATAAACAAAATAAGAAAGGAAGAAGTAACGCTAAAAAGGAAGCAGAAAAGGAGAAAAAGGTTGCAAGTACTGGAAAGGGTAGTTTGATGAAAAAAATTGCTGATTTGCAAAAGAAGGCTTTGCAGTTGGAACAATCGCAGGGTGAGGAGTTTGTTGTAAACGATATCGTTGCGATAAATAATGATGAAGTGCACGAAAGTATAGCTAGAGCACAATTCACAGTTATAGTTCCAGTTTCTGGCTCAGGTTCGGCGCCTCTTGCGATTGATGTGCAATCCAATACTAAATAATTAGAATACTTTGTTAATGTTTATATACAAATAAAGATATATCGTTTTTAAAACTGTTTATTTATTATAATCTTCTTTATCGTTATTTTGGTAGTACATTTACATTTATTTTAATAACTGGTAACACTACAAACTCAAACACACTCAAAAAACGTTATTAAATACATTGAAGTTTATCTAACAAAGTTCTTTTAGTGCATATATATATATATATATATATATATATATATATATATATACAGGGTGGTGAATCGTCAAACGGTCCATAGGAAACTCAATGGGAAATTCTAAATTGTTGAATTCCTGCTTCCCTAATTATTTTACACCCAAAGTCATGGGAAACTATTTGTAGAGGACTCAAATATGTATCGAAAACAACTGTTAAAATTATTCTACGACTTAAAGGTATTCCAAAATTTTGCTAAAATATAATACATTTTTCTGTGAAAAAATGTGTATTACGTGTTGCGTTTTGTCATATTATTGTTTCTGATATTTGACAATATTTAAATCTTATAATAAAATAGTAAAATATTACATTTATCTATGATTTAAATGGCCAAAATTTTGTGATTTATTGTTAAAAAAAAAATTAAGTTGATTAAAAAATGTACTCAGTTGAGGAGAAAAAAGCAATAATAAAAATTTTTTATTCATGTTTTATTATAACACTTGTTATAGTTTTATGTTTATAAATTATCATATATTATTATTAGAAATAAAGATCACAGTAACAGTATATTGGAATTCATTGAATTGTTGTATAACTTAACATGGAATTAAATTTTAGTGAATTAGAATATCTTACGTTAAATAAAGATCCGGTAGTGGCAGGAAAAGGTTCGCGCTATTGCCTGAGTACAACATTATGCGATTTTTCGTCAACTGAGTACATTTATATTGATCGATTTGTAAACAATATAATTTATTGTTCACAAAGTAATAATGTTCATTAGTAGTAGTATTTAGTAAAACTCATTGTTTATAATTTAATCATAAAATAAAAAAATTGACAATTCAAATTGTCAAACATCTGACATAAATATGATAAAACACAAACGTAATAATATATATTCTTGCATTACGTGTGGCCTAACTTTTAGGGGTGGCCTGAAAAATGTATTATATTTTAGCAAAATTTTGGAATACGTTTAAGTCGTAGAATAATTTTAACAGTTGTTTTCGATACATATTTGAGTCCTCTACAAATAGTTTCCCATGACTTTTGGTGTAAAATAATTAGGGAAGCAGGAATTCAACAATTTAGAATTTACCATTGAGTTTCCTATGGTCCGTTTGACGATTCACCACCCGGTATATATATATATATATATATATATATATATATATATATATATATATATATATATATATATATATATATATATATATAATATATATATATATATATATATATATATATATGTACAAAAATTATTTATTTTCGTTATTATTTACATTAAAAAATAATGACTTTTGTAAAATTAAAAAAATATTTTTATAACATGTATTTTACAGGTACATTTTTACACATCGCACGCTACTGATGTGACTGGATGCAAAATATTAAAAATTTAATGAATTTTTTAATTTACCAAAAATAATTATTGACTTGAACACAATGTTACCTGCTTACCATTAAAATATTGGGAAATATTTAATCATATGTCAAATTCACGTTGGACATTGTATCTAGTAATGTGACGTCAGCACAATAGTCACATAATAATAAACAATTGTTTATTATTCTGTGCCATCGTCTACATCCATGATGTCTACATCTAAATATCAACAGGCTCCATCCTTAGTATGTTATATCGATGGTGAATAGCATAGTTGTTTTTGAAATTTGTTACATTTGAGGTTTTTAAAAGTTCAGAAATGTGAATACCTACTAATTATGCAACCAATAATACATTAACTTTTGTGGTGACTACCCAATCACGTATTGACTACCACAAACATTAATGTAAGTGAAATATGACATGTGGGGAGAGTGAATTATATGGGCCCAGTCCATGATACTAAGACTTCCAAGATAAACCCACTTCGCAATCGAATTTTGTACATCGACGCGCATGACGTCAATTGGTGATAAAAGTCACTTTTATCATCAACCTTTTATCATCACAGTCGGTAAAACATATATATGGAAAGAAAGGGGTTTTTATTTAAATATTTAGAATATTAAGGGATGTTAGGTAAAATATCTGCAATTAAATCTTAAAAATATGTTATATATACACAGGGCCGGATTAAGGCACGGGCCAACTGGGCCGCGGCCCAGGGCGGCAAAATTTTGGGGCGGCGGATTTGAGAAAAAAAAAGTGTAATTATTTTTGATTGATTATAAAGCTTTATTATCGATTATCAAGACCAGTGAACCTGAGCATTAAATATTAAAAAACTATTTTATTGTTTATTATTTATTTATAACGCGACACTCTGCGCGGTGTAATGTGTCGCAGTACACTACGCTACGCCACTCTATCCAAGTGAGTCGAAGGGGCGAGGCGGCAGTCTGTATCGTACGCTACGCACGGGAAATTTAGTTGTGGGATCGTAGTAGTTGCTAGCATTGGCTGATGGCAGGCGTCTTGTCGCCTTGCCGCTTCCCTCCCCCCACCAACTCCATCACCGCCACGCGCCATTGTCATTCGGTTGTCTGGTCTCAACTCCACGTACTGCAGTCTGTCTAACTGTTTAGGTTTAACGTTTTTGTAATTTGTTTTGAGCGGAGTAACATTTTGAAATTGTAACTTGTGAGGTAAGAAATATTTATTTGTTTATAGTAATGGTAATGTAAGTTAATATAGATCTTACATCTAAAGGTTCAGATAAGTTTATGCAGCAGCAGTTAGCACTGGTGTAAGGAGTAGTGAGACGGTGAGAGCTGTGCTGTGTAGGCCGTAAGGCCGTAAGTTGTCAAATTTTGTGGCTATTTAATTTTGCATATTTCGCCATTTTACTTTGTGGTAGTAAGAGAAGCAATGTAATTCGGCATGTTGCCATACGTATAGGTTTCACAATGAGTTGAATAAGTAATGGAAGGAAATTCGCTTCCCTCATTTTTTCGCTTCATTTTTCCTGTCGTATCGTACTACAGTTTTGAATTATACAGATATTCTTTTTTTTACAGTCAGACCTTTACTTCCGATGTCATTGATGCTATAACAAGCAGCTGTACAAATGGATGGACGCAAACGGCTCAGTGGGTGGCAATACAAAAAAGTAGCCGAAGAGAAGAAAAAAAAATTGACAGAAGTTGTAAATAAAACTGCGAAGCTTGATACATTTTTTACAAGAAGTAACCTACCAGTGCCACCAGAACCAGTGCTTTTAGAAAGTGTCAAAGAATTTTGTGAAGTAGAACTAGAAGTATGTTCCATATTAACGCCTTCAGCTTCAACAGCTTCAGCATCAGTGCCTTCAGCTTTAACATCAACCCCTCCAGCTTCAGCATTAGCCCCTTCAGCTTCAACATCAACCCCTTTAGCTTCAGCATCAGCCCCTCCGGTTTCAACATCAACCCCTTCAGCTTCAGCATCAACCCCTTCAGCTTCACCCTCAACCCCTTCAGCATCAGCACCTTCAGCTTCGTCATGTGTTGATACTGACAAGATCAAACCAGCTATATCCGAATTAACTTTTGTTGTTGACGAGATTGAAGATCAATTAACAGTCTCTGAACCTGACTCTTCTGTCCATTTGAAACCAAATTATGATCCTGCTTTATGGATAGTGAATGAAGAGACGCGGGAATATTTTGTTAAAAATGGATGGAATCAAAATAAAGATTGCGATTTTAAAAAATCTGAAAGGCAATATCCAGACAGGAAAAGAGTGTTGGCTAAATGGCTATTCGACAGAAAACTTGCAAATGGCGAAATTGTAAATAGAGATTTCTTGATTTACTCACCAAGTTTAGGCTCTTTGTTCTGTGGTCCATGCAAATTGTTTAGTTCGACCTCTACTCAGTTTACTGAAAATGGGTTCAGTGATTGGAAACATGCATCAGCGAGAATAAAAGAGCATGAAAACTCGCACGTTCACTACAATAGTGTAATAGTATACAAACAAAGAGCAGAAGCAGCCGGGAGGATCGATAAGCTTCTACAAAACCAAGTGGAAGAAGAAATAAGGTATTGGAAGGCAGTTCTCCAGAGAGTGGTGGCCGTAATAAAAAAACTTGCCTCGCGTGGTCTTGCCTTTAGGGGGACTGACGAAAAATTTGGTTCTTTTTCAAATGGCAACTATATGATGTGCTTGGAGCTGATTGCCGAATTTGATCCATTTTTGAAAGCACACATTGAAAAATATGGGAAAGCGGGTAAAGGCAATCAGTCATACCTATCATCAACCATTTGTGAAGAACTCATCGAAATAATGGCAAAAACCGTTATTGATACAATTTTGAATGATGCTAAGAAAAGCAAGTACTATTCTATAATAGTAGATTCCACCCCTGATGTAACACACATTGATCAATTGTCTTTCATATTAAGGTATGTGAATGAATTGGGAATCCCTGAAGAACATTTTGTTGAATTTATGAAAAATCAAGGTCATACAGGTGAAGAACTAGTGAACTCAGTGCTTTCTTTCCTACAGTCGAAAGGATTGGACATACAAAACTGTAGGGGACAGTCCTATGACAACGCGTCAAATATGTCAGGAATGTACTCGGGGTTGCAGGCAAGACTTAAAGAAAAGAATCCCTTGATATTTTATGTGCCTTGTTCAGCGCATTCACTAAATTTAGTGGGATCAAGCGCAGCAGAATGCTGTTCTCTTGCAAAACATTTCTTTGATCTCTTGCAAGGATTGTACAATTTTTTCTCGTCTTCTACGCACAGGTGGAATCTTCTTCTGTCAAATTTCACGGCCACAGGAAAGGACAAGAACACGTCGTTGAAGTCTCTCAGTGTTACAAGATGGTCTGCAAGGGAAGAAGCTTGCAAAAGCCTTAATAAAGACTACAAACCCATGGTCAAGACGCTGATAGACATGACTTCAAGCAATCATGAAAACAAACAGACACAATCCAAA